CAATCACCCTTCAGGACTCTCGTAATTTCCAACATACGAGTCTTGACGATGTACGACAGTCCGCACTAGAGATCGAAAGAGAGCTCGCGGCTCGGCAGTCTCTGAGGAACATGCGCAGGCTCATGCCTCTGTTCATTGGTCTTGAACATTACGCCGCAACAATGGGCATTGTTTGCAATGGCACACCATTTTTACCCTGGGTCTGGGCGCCGATCACCTTGATCCTGAGGATCGCCTCGGAATACGTCGAAGCATTTGAGCAGATCATAAAAGGATATGCTCGAATTGCAGGCTCGCTCAAGCGGTTCAATGTCCTTGGACAGGCTTTCTCAGGCGATTCGGAATTTGAATATACTTTGGCCACCTTCTACGAAGACATTCTTGAGTTTCATAAATATGCTTATAAGTTTGTTCGACGCAACGGTGGGTTATTTCGTCTTCAAAACTCATTTAGAAGTGCCTTTTCCCTGATCTCTCCACGCATAGGATGGAGGATTGTGTTCATGACATCATGGGGGCGTTTTCAGAGACGTTTCGAAAATATACTCGAAAACATGGAGCGACATGGAGCCCTCATTGATCAAGAAGCAAACGCACGCAATATTGCGGAAGGACGAGCGATGCGCCACGATCTTCGTTCATGGAGAGAAGAGACATTGTTAAGTCTAGGCCTGCAGGAAGACGCCCAGTTCAATGAGCAGTATCAATCTGTTCTATCATGGCTTTATGTCGAAGCAAAGCACCAAAATGACCAGCTAGCGATCATAGACAAGGTTATGACGGAGATCTCGAAGTACCCAGACGTTTATATTTCTATCATGGACTGTACCAAGGTCAAAGGGTGGCTTCAACGCAACTCAACTCTGCCGATGCTGTGGATTCAAGGAATCACAGGGTCTGGGAAGACCTTCGTTGCTGCGCAGTTGATCAGATTTCTCGAGATTGCGAAAATGCCCTTGCTCTATCATTTTTGCTCCGATTTGTACCCCACCTCTTTAACCTACGAACAGATCATCCGGTCATTGATCTCTCAGGTGGCCATGAGAGACAAAGATCTCGTTGCATTCATCTACAAGGACTATGTTGGTAAGAAACAGCCGAGGCTCCAAGTCTTAGAAGACCTTTTGCGGAACCTCCTTGCAGCTAGCTCTGCTGAGCCCAACCAATCCGAGTTCAAGTGGATTATTATCGATGGCCTTGATGAATGTTCCTCAGAGCAACAGAATCAGGTGTTGGGACTCGCGTACAGAAATATTGCAAAGTTGTCGTCATCGTCGTCGCCAGGCAACAACGTCTGCAAATTCCTCATCACTAGTCAGGTTTCGCCAGAAATATCTCGCCGCATACGAAAGGAACACACTCTATATCTTTCCAACGAACGCTCAATTGTGGATAAGGCGATACAGCTATATGTGAAACAGAGGATGTACCCTCTTTTTCGAAGATTTCAAAGTCTGGACCTCAGCGAGCAACAATTTGAAGCCATATCTGATACTGTGGTAAAAAAGGCGGACGGTAAGTGAAGCCACAGTTTCCATTCCACGGCATGTCCACTAATACTGTCCAAGGCATGTTTCTTTATGCCAGACTAGTTCTTGATTATTTGAGTACAAATATCTTCATGGATCAGGAAGCGATCAAATCCTCCCTCGATTTGTTGCCAGCAAAGCTTACAGACCTGTTCGTTTAATCAGCCAATCATTATCAAATAATAATGGTATGGATGCTAATGGCCCGGTAGCTACGAAAAGCTTCTGGCGCAAATGCTAGGTAAATTAGACGAGAGGTCCGTGAACCACGTCAGATGCGTTTTTGGTTGGGTTGCTTTCCAGAAAAAACCATTGAAGAGGCTGGAGTTTCTCTCCGCTGTCACCTTCAGCCAAGGAAACCCGGCCGTCAAAAATTTAGCACCTGAATATATCTTCGACATCTGTGGAACGCTCCTTGATCAGAGACCTGATACCACCATTACATTTGTTCATTCTTCGGTGAAGACGTAAGCCCAGCTGTCTTGCTTATCAACGGCATGTTTTTGGCTAATAGTATTCGACCAGATTTCTCCGAAACAGCTCCAACATGCTGAGAGTCAAGGAAGAGGATATTATCAAGGAACATAGCCTCGCGACAATTGCCTGTTTGTTGTCAGGCTTCGATGTATTTGGCGGCGACCTTATTGAGCACGAATGCCGACTTCGAACGGTCAAAGGAATACACGGACTCCATGTCTACTCGACAGAGTTTTGGGCTGAGTATCTCCTCGCGTCAAGCCAACTACCCGGGGGACTCAAAGAGAATTCCCTACTTTTCGAACGCGCCTATGATTTGGTAGAAATCCTCGAAGCAGTGGATGGAAATCCTGAGAAAGACACCGCTAAATCTGCCACCAAGCATGGAACAGAGTCCGTTGAGGAGCGGCTTGGGTCTTTGGAAAAGCTTGCTCTCCTTTTAAAACACGCCGAGGCATCCCTCAACATGAGATCTCTCAAAGCACTTGAGTCCAGCTACAATGATCAACAGCCCATCGGGCCCGTTGCGCATTGTTCGACCAATCATGTGGACAGAATACTGCAGGCCTATCAAGAGACGGTTCGATTTCTTCTAAGTCAGGACGACTTTCCGGGAGTTTCTGCGGAGATGCTGAAGTCTTTCAAAACTCAATTTTCCTCAGCTTTGTTTACGTGCCGGCTGCACTCATGTCCCCGAGCAACATGCGGATTCGAAACTCAAGATTTGCTTCGAGCACATGAGCTATCTCATACTCGCAGATATCCTTGTACCTTCCACGGCTGCCAAAGCCCACCGTTTGGGTCACAGGACGCATTGCGTAGGCACAACAGGAAATATCATGATCCCGCACCGCCAGCAAAGATCAGGCATCAGCGTACCAGAGGCGAGAATCGGCCGAAGTTTCTACCAGGAGTTGATCGACCTCCAGACTTGAAGGGGGATTCGAATTTTCCCGACATGATTCTAGCAAACCCAAGCGGTTCCGTTCGGTCGACTAGCCCAAAGTCGTTAAAATGGGATGAGAAAACCACCAAATCCCCAAATGCTACTCCTGTTGTCACGCCATTCAGCCCGCCGCAGCTCCGTTTACTCCGTCAGCAAATACATGCGTTCAAGTCGTTGGTAAAAAACCATGAAATGCCGCTGCCGATGCAGGAGGCCCTCTTCGCTCGCCGCCAGTATCGTGGGGTCATCCCTGCGGAGGTCCTCTTCGCTCAGAGCCAACAGATCATTCCTTGGAAGTAGTCAGTGCCTACACTACTTCATCGACACTCAAAGCGCCATCGCCATCCACTTGAACCCGATCTTACGGCCGATGAGGCTAGGCAGTCTACACTGGGGGCTTAAGGTCCAACTAATCAGAAATTTGCGCGTCTCGTTGGTGAATTGAGCGTAAAGTATCCCTTCAAGCCTTGAGAGTGGAAGCTCGCACAATACTGTAGTGGTCATACCCGCCTCCAGTCAGAACACCTAGGTTAGATATTTCGATGAAAGTGCCTCCGGTCACGAAGGCCAAGGCAACGTCGAGCGGAACAGACCTCGAACGGCAGGGCCTACATACAATGAACAAAAGGTGCAATTTGAGAAGTTCGAGAATTTCAGATCATGCTTACTGTTAGAGAGCTAGAGAACAATTGCCCAAAATTATAACAGTGACTACATACAAAGACAACGCAAGGACCAGACTGAGTATACCCTCAATCCAGCCCAGTCCTGCGTCCAGGAAGCCACTTGGGGGCCATAAATAACCATAATCACTCCCAGGGAAGAAACATATTCGGTTTGGCATCATTCCTTCTTTCCATTCATTCAGCCCTCCTCGTTCTTCGCATAGTTCTTGGCCCTTCTCTACCGACTCAATTTCTATTTCCGCCATGCGGATCTCTACACGTACTTTCGGGCATTTGTACTAATAGGTACTCCTGGCAGAGTGCAACAGCCAGAAACCTAACGCACTGAGTGAACCTATTCATTTCCTTGTCCTGCCATCTGACTGAATTTTTTCGGTTCTGATAAGCGCGAAATACAGAGGCCGGTATTGCACTGCTTCCCCTGGCCTATGCGCAACCTCTCTGGGTCTGTCACTGGGTCCGTCACTTTAAACGGTCGCTCATGACTCCTTTTTAACGAATCTCTGGCTGGAATCGCTGCCGAATCAAACTATACTCAGCTGGCATCCAGCCTTTCTGCAAGATTACCACCATTGAACCATAACGTCTTCCAGGCCGTGGGTACGTTAACCGTGCCAAGGTAGCCTGCTTGCGCTTACATGGACGTCTGGCGTTTAAGTGGTCAACCCGCAACAAACCTGAGATGCTGACTTGCCGTAATAAGCAAGGCCCATCAGCCGAGCGACAGCCAATCTTCGTTTTGATTTGCGAGATGCAACCTTCCGCGATATCAATCACCGAGGTATACGGTGTGATGCTATCTTTGTCGCCATGGTTGTGTTGCAGTCATCCTTCTCTGTTGCTGATGGCGCCCAGTCATAAGCCAGTATTGGATTAGCCGCCAAACGTGTAGCAGAGATGATAGATGCAAGGGAACAGGGTGGCAAGTACTGTCAGATTTGTGCGACATCCCAGTACGGCTGAGATTAGGTGGCGCTCTCAAGGACGGAGGGAACGATAAGAAATGCATAGACTTCCGGAATCGCGGGCCAGTTGGCCAATCTGCAGCCTGATTCTATAGTTTCATTCTTGAACAATCAGGCTCGTAACGCCATCACCGATCGCTTGAGATTGGTGGTTTGAGGTTACATTATAGAGCTTTCTTCTGACGTCCATGAGAGAGCCTGCCTTAGAAGTACTACTTGAGGTATTCCTGCGGCACAGACGCTTTCCCAGGCACCCTGCGTTGATGAGCAGGCTATTCGAATGTCATATAGAGATGGGGTCCCTTCAACAAATTGTGATTGAGACCTTGCAGGTCAATATTCAGGTGCACGTTCTCTCGTTCAACAGGTTGTCTCTCGCTCAGCCAGCACTTTCAGCATGAAACTTCCCATTCGATCCCCCTTCTCCGAGGGCCTAGTGCCTCGCGATCTATGGAGACGAGGTGCTCTATCCTTTGCCGCTGCTGCACTTTTCACATTCATAGTGAACTTCTCCTTCACTATCTGGACGATGACAAAGGAGGCCCCCGATGGCGTCGGTCTCATCTGGGAGGGTGAACAGACGATCGTGAAAGCTTGGAATACAGCCATGCACATCGTCATCAATATCATCAGCACCATTCTGCTTGCGGGAAGCAACTATTGCATGCAATGCTTAATGGCGCCAACGCGAAGCGAGCTTGACAAGGCACACTCGGAGAAGAGATGGCTTGACGTTGGAATACCGACAATTCGAAACTTCAGGAGTATCACTTTAAGAAAAAAGATGCTCTGGATCATGTTGTTCCATATCATCGTTTCCGTTACATCTGCTGTATGAAGCCCTTCATCCTGGCGGAGAATTGCCTGAGCTTACTTGGCAGCAGTTTCAACTCGGTCATCTTCGCATCGATTTCGACGAATCAATACTACGTGTATCCGATTAGCGAGCAATCGTTGCCAAGGGGAGACCCTAATTCGTTTCCAGCAACATTCGACACGCGTCTGCTCAACAATACACAGTTCGACAGTTTCCCAATCGCGACGTTCGACTACCGCAACGCTGACACCTGCCTTGGAGACTACGGCACGGCGTTTCAGTCCAAGCGAGGGAGCCAGGTTCTCGTTACCAATGCCACAGAGGACGACGTATTCTGGCCTCAAGCTGAGATGGCTCAGTATCCGCAAGGAGGTGTGTCCGGATCGTACAAATGGCTGTGCAAGGAGCACGCATACATGATGGGTAACGATTACGAAGGCGAAAGCCCATGCGACGACATGGTCGCAAACATCAAGAAAGGCTCCATTCCGTGGAGGCCGCTTGGCTTCGAAGTTCGGGCCTGCTACAACAAGGAGACAGCGGAGCATTCAAAGCTGTTTTTCAGCAGGTCAATCTGCTGGGTCGTGACTACACTTAACTTGGTCAAGGCTATTCTCATGGTGCTCGTCGCCTATGATGGCATTGACAACGGAGAGCAACCGATCTTGACTGTTGGAGATGCCATCGCCTCGTATCTCCAGGACCCAGACAAGTATACGCTAAAAATGTGTCTGAAGTCGAAGAAGTGCTTCACCAAAAAGGATTGGGAGCCAAGCGCAAAACCCTTTCAAGCTACAAGACACCGAAAGTTTAGTGGAGGTAGTGTGAGTCGATGGGTTGTGTGCATTTCCCTGTAAGTATGCACTATATTCCCTCTGAATGGCATGTAATAATATGAAAATGAGATGCCTGATAGCTCTATGCGTTTGTGGTTTCCTTTTATGGTACGGTATTGCGGACATTCGTTATAGACGACTTGATTCGGGGTCGGTCTCCCTGAAAAACTACGGGCCTGGCGCTGTCCATAGCGACACCATCATGGAGATCTTTAGCTCCGGGAGTAACGTCCTTATTCTGAGCGTAATCCTGGCAAACACCCCGCAAGTCCTGATGTCACTCATCTACTTCAACTACAACGCCCTTTTTACGTGCATATCTCTTGCCGCAGAATGGGACAGGTTCTATAGTGGAAAAAGGAAAGGTCTCCGAGTATCTACCTGGCCCCAAGGCGACCAACGACAGACTTACTTCCTCCAACTCCCGTCACGATACTCGTTGGCACTTGCTGCATTTTCTGGTGGCCTCCACTGGCTTATTTCACAGAGCATATTTCTTATCAAAGTGGAGGCTTATGGCGACGACGATACAGTCCAAGGCGAGATGACATCTTCCGGGTGGTCTCCGGTCGGAATCATTCTCGTCTTGATTGCAGGGGCTGTCCTGATTGCATTTCTTGTCACTTCGGGATGCTTTCGTCTGCGTTACGGCGGAATTCCTGTGGTCGGTAGCTGCAGTGCGGCGATAGCTGCGGCGTGCCATGCGGACCCATCAGAAAGGGATTCTTTGGCGACATTGCCCCTGACTTGGGGCGTTGTTTCTGGAAAGGACGTCGAGCTGGGGCACTGCTCATTTACGAGCAAAGACGCTGAGAAGCCGGTAGAGGGCTGTCTTTATGAGTGAGTAGGATTCAAGCCGAAGGCTTTTGGTTTCAGTAGGTAAATTAAGTGGGATTGCCGACAGATGATCACAGCATTAGAGGAGGACCAAGGGGTTTCTTATAACCAAGGATTTGTGTCGCTTATTGAGGGTAGTAATACTACTAAGGATACAACATTAAGACCACTCAACAAATATCCACATCATAATTCAGTCCATTTTGTGAAGAATTCTTTTATAAATTTTTATATAACTATAGGGAATATAAGGACCCTTTTTTCCTCTACCCTAACTTAAGTTAGTCTTTTTAACTACTATATCCTTAGATAAAAGTAATAATAATAATTAGTTTTTAGAACTATTCGCTATACTTCTTATTAAATATCCTATTAATCTCCTTTATATTATTCTTATTTTTTAAGTTCTTAGTAATCTTTTTAAATCTCTATTTAACTTAATAGAGAACTTAGTTCTAAAGGTTTTCTAAGAATTTAATATATATTATAAAGAAATATAGAGATATTATATTATTATTCTTAGCTATAAAGATATAATTAAACTATTATTAAATATATAATAAACTAATCTCTTTTAGATATTTAATATTATTAATAGTAAAAACTATATTAATTAAGTAAGAAGTATATATAAGATTTATCTTAGAAAGTTTTAAATATAAACTATAGTATAATAGGGGGTTACTTCTATTAACTTAGCTAAGTAGCTTAAAAATCCCTTTTATATACTTTATAAGTTAGTTATAGAGGTTACGCTATAACCCTCTATATATTTCCCTGTTAGAGTTATATAGTAGTTAATAAGGTGCGCCTCTAGGTAGCAAACTGCGAAGAAGAAAACTTAGAAGGGAAGAAAGATTCATGATTCAGTCGCGGAAGAAATGTGGGAAATGAACTTGAAATTATCGAGACTCTATCTCATCCCTCTCAAGCCCCAAACCCATCAAACGCAAAAACACTCTAATTAAATCTCCTTCACAAACCCAACCTCGACAACCCTCTCCATCGCCAGCCTCAAATTCGCAATCTTGGCCCTCGTATTATCCCTCATCCACAAAAACGTGCCCAACACAATCCTCCTGAAAATATTCGTGCCCGTGCGGATGTGCATCTGCCCCTTGCCCACAATGTACAGCACCTTGTGCGCATACGCGCGGTCCAGCTTCGCCAGCTCCGCCGCGACCCGCTCGTCCTTCAGCTCCGTCGGGCCCTCCGTCTCCTCCCACTCCGTCGCCGTGCCGGACGTGTTGGTCTCCTGCTCACTGGCGGTGGCGGCCTTCGCGGCCGCCTGGCGCACGACGAAGCGCCGGATCTGCTCGTAGATGAGCGCGCCCAGGTCCGGGGAGACGACCTCGTCCATGAAACCGTGGCGCACCACGAGGCGGTAGCAGCCTGGGATGTTGGCGAAGCGCGAGATGTGGTAGCGTTCCGCGTCAGGGACGGAGGGCACCTCGACGGGGTGCAGGTGGAAGAAGACGGCAACATCGGGGAGGGCGCCGAGCTTGGACGCGAAGTGTGTGAAGACGCTGGGCGTCTGGATGCCGGTCTTGTCGAAGAAGATGCCGAACCCGCTGACGGGGGAGAGCAAGTCGCCGCCCCAACGGGGAGTCAACTTCAAACCTCCATCCGCGGCCTTGGCGAGCAGAGACGAGGGCTGGAAACGGTCCTCCTTCTCGGCGCGCCACTGGTTCTCCTTGCCGAAGCGCCAGAGGAGGAACATGCCGGCCATGAGGGCGGAGATCATGAGGGTGAACCAGGCGCCGTCCGGGACCTTGTTGAGGGCGGACGAGAGGTAGAGGCCGTCGAGGGTGGCGAAGGCGAGGAAGGGCAGGAAGATGAGCCAGACGGGCAGGCGCCAGACGAGGATGGCGACGAGGGTGACCATGAGGGTGTCGAAGAAGGTGACGAAGATGACGCAGACGCCGTAGGCGTGGCCGAGGGAGGTGGTGTTGTTGTAGACGGCGGTGACGAGGATGGTGCCGAGCATGAGCAGCCAGTTGAGCAGAGGAACATAGACCTGGCCGTGGAAGGTGGACGAGGTGTGGACGACCTTCATCTGCGGGCAGTAGGAGAGCTTCATGATCTGGGAGGAGAGCTGGAAGGTGGCGGTGATGATGGCCTGGGAGGCAACGATGGCGGCGAGGACGGCGAGGATGAGGGACGGGTAGAGCATGCCGGGGGGCACGGTGTTGAAGAAGGGGTTCGTGTACTTGTCGGGGAAGAGGGCGAGGTGGGCGGCCTGGCCGGAGTAGGCGAGGATGAGGCAGGGGTAGGTCCAGAGCAGCCAGCTCATCTGCACGGCGCGCATGCTGAAGGCGCCGAGGTCGGCGAAGAGGGCCTCGACGCCGGTGAAGCAGAGCAGCACGCCGCCGAGCATGCGCCAGCCCTCGGTCTTCTTCTCCATGAAGAAGTGGATGCCGTAGTAGGGGGAGAATGCCTTGAGGACGGTGTAGTCGTACTTGACGAGGTTGTAGATGCCGAAGGCGCCGTTGAAGCCGAGCCAGACGATGACGATTGGGGCAAAGGCGCCGGCGAGCTTTGTGGTGCCGAGGGGCTGGATGAGGAAGAGCAGGACGAGGATGCCGCAGGTGGTGCCGACGATGGTGGAGGTGCTGATGTCGGGCTTGACGACGGAGAGGCCCTGGATGGCGCCGAGGACGGACTGGGCGGGGGTGAGGATGCCGTCGGCGATGACCATGGAGACGGCGAGGACGCCGATGGTCTTGAGGAAGCCGCGGGTTAATTTGGATTTCTCGATGGCGGAGCGGATGCCGCGGGTGACGGGGCGGACGTCCTGGGTGTTGAAGCGCTCGAAGTTGAGGGTGGCCTCCTCGCGGGGGTCGACGGTGGTGATGTTTGCGAAGCGGGTGAGGAGGGAGTAGCAGGAGAAGGTGCCGCCCTCGCCCTCGTTGTCGGCGTGGAGGACGATGAAGACGTATTTGACGGTGACCATGAGCGTGAGGGACCAGATGATGAGGGAGAGGACCTGGGTGAGGTCGTTCTTGGTGGGGATATCGGTGAAGGTGGAGGAGTACACGTAGAGAGGACTAATGGGCGTGTAAGTAAGTAGGCGTCATGATGGGAATATGTGCAATGATGCTTACCTTGTTCCAATGTCGCCATAAATGACACCGATCGACTGATACGCAAGCCTGTTGTCAACATGTTAGTGCCACGTCGCGTTCCTGGACCACATTCATCACGAACCAAATCAGAGTCGTCCCCGTAAAGATCTGCTTCTTCCGCCCATCATCGCGCCTCCAGTCGTCACCGCCCTCGTCGACTTCAACAGTCGAGTCCCGTGTACGGGCGCGCGAGAGACTGCGAGCGCGGCCCCTGGACCCGACGCGGTCGAGGTCGCGGCCAAAGTAGATGCCGCCGGCGACGCCGGTGCTCGATCCAACGTCAGGACGCTGCCATTTCTGCCACTCGTCGATGGTCGAGCTCGAGGTGATGCGGTCGGGCTTCTCGAGGTTGTCGTCGAAGTTGATTCTCTGCGGGGTGGGCGCGTTTGGATCGGCCATGCCAGGCGCTGCAAACGTCTAATTCTTGTGGGAAGGAGGAAAAGAGAAGATGGGAGTGAGAGTGGAAGAGGGAGAGGCGCCGGCGCAAAGCACAGCGTGGGAGGTGGTGAGCGTGGCAAAATAGCAGAGCCGGTTCCCGGAGGGAGGTTGTAGCAGATCAGCAGAAGAGAGAGATGATGACAGAAGTCGGAAGTCTTTCAGAAGCGTCCACATAGGAAATGGGATGGTAGGGGGATGGGATGGGCTCTTTAAGTCGGGCAGACGTTGGGGGCGTTCGCGCCGGCGCGCCGATGCCCTGGCCCTAATCTCACGATGATTTGTGCCTGTCTCGAGACAAAAGACAAAAAGACAAAGGGCAGATTGCCGTATCGGAGCAGTGGGGGTACACCCCATGAGGGATCTTGGTTCATCTTTGCCCATCTTCGGGGTCTCACTCTCTCACTCTCCCATGGATGACGGGGGACTGGGGATGGGCCACCACCCAAGGCGGTCTGGCTAGTGCGGCGGGAAAGGCTCGATACCAGATGCATCCATGGCGCGTGGCGTGCGGACGGTCTTCTTTCTTAGTTTGCCCTGGTGCCGAAAAGCTGCCCATTCTGCACGTAGATTTGAGGGTTAGAGACCAGGATCCAGCCCTCTTCGTAGTCTCGTTCACTCCCACCTCTCTCCCTCTCCCCTGGGACCACCAACACCGCCCATCGATGGTGGCCCGTGTTGTTCGGGTGAGCCCTCGAGTCTACGCAGTAGCGCGGCTTGCACATGCAACATGCGCCGGGCTAATCTTGGACGATGACGGGGGCGCCGCGCATGGCTGGCAGGGAAGGTTTATCAGATGCTCTCGTTGACAGAAACATGATTGTCACAAGCTGCAGGAGAGACGCAGAGCTGGGACGGGGGGGTCTGGCTTTTGGGGTAAGGCAGGACAGGCAGGCTGTTCGGGAGGAGGGAACGGCTTAGCGCGCATCCATGGCGTGTGGCATGTTATTTGCTCTCTCTCTCACGGAGTGGTCTAATAAGGCATGCCGGGTAGTCTAGAGGCCGGACGATGCAAGAGAGCTGTACGAAGTGTGAGGAAACGGGCGCCCGCTGCGGTGCCGATGGCTGCTGGTCATTGACTGAAGTTGGGAACCTGCAGGGGTAGCTCGGACCAGGGGGGTAGGTAACGGATGGAAGCGGGGATGGGAGAGGATGAGGCTTCTTCTTCATGGGCAAAAAGGGAAAGAAAAGAAAAGATGGTGGGCACGAGTCGGAGGGATGCAATAGATGGGACGTGTTTGCAAGGGAGACGTGAAGCATGTATGAACGAGTGGCTCGGAACGGCCTTTGCGATGATGACAGATGTTGCGCAAGACAATGGGCGGGAAGGCCGTCCTTCTTGTCGTTGTTGTCTCTATTGTCTTTTCACCTCTGCTTTGTTAGTCTCGAGGCTTTAGTCTTTTTTTTCCCGCGCGAGGGCGAGTCCAGGCGGTCTGATGACTGTGTGGTGGGAGGCCGCTTACACGTGCCAGCAGACTGCAGCGCGTACGAGACAACCCGCGCATGTTCGTCTCCCATGCAGCAACCAGCGGGTCAGAAAGAAGCCAAGTTGCGGGCGTCGGAGAGATGCAATGGCTGCGGAGCTTTCAGGGCTGTACATGGTATAGACAGACGTTTAGATGAGGGGACAGAAGAGGGGCGGTCTCGACAAGTAGAGCCCCTTGTTGATCGGCTCTTCAAGTGAAGACCGAGTAATATTCGTGTCGTTGGTAACAGCAGAAACACAGAGCAACATAATGCCTCATTGTAGATTTTCTGCCGTATCCCGTTCGTCGACGGCAGGGCCCTGTTTTCATCTCTGGCTAGGATCTGCAGAGAAGAAGACCCCAGTCGAGAAAAGAGTGGATGGTCAGAAAGAAGAGACGAAAAAGGGAACGGTCATGGCCGGTGGGCAGAAAGACAAGAGAGACACAGAGAGAGGGGAGGCAGCCCAAACATTCCATCGCAACAGACACAGAGACACAGACGAAGAAAAAAAAGCCAAGAAAATGTCATGCACAGACGCCCGTAGCTTTTACTGGGTCAGTGGCTGCAAAGGGACTAGCACCCCTGCCATCCCCGGACACTGAAGCTTCACACAGTGGAGTGGGTTCGGTGGGCCACTGCCGGCTTCAGTGGGACCCGTCCACTGCGGGTGCGTGTGTTTGGTTTGTTTAGCGCTGCTAAGCTTCTGCTAGCGGCAGCCAAGGTCGCCGCATCCAATGCACTACCAAATCCGCTCATCTCGACTATCTGCCCTAAGAAAACGCAACTTTGAGCTTCATTTTCTGTGCCCTCCCACCCCCAGCCAGCCCTCCTTTTTTCCAGTATGAGAGATTTTTCGTCCAAGATGCTCCCATTGGTCTGCCAAGACATTGCTCACTTTTGATTGCCAAGACTTTTTCGGGCATGCTTTTCGCGGGACGCGCATAGCCACACTGGATACCGTTCCCTTCTCACCTCTCTCCTAGTGTCCAAGGTAAACAAGCAGACAGACCCAAGGCCATGTTTTGGCACCAATTCCGTGCATCTCTCTCTGGACCAAGGCCATGTGCCATCAACAAGCGCCGTCCGTCATCCGTCATGCCATGCTTGTGGTAGGTAAGTAGGTTTGATTAGGGCGCGTGTCGAACCAGACTCCTGGGATCCATCTCGACTGCGGACGGTTCTTTTCCCTCTTCTGACTTAATCTCGCAAGGAGAAAATCTCGCAGAAGATCTCGAGCTCTGGCCGCAGCTTACCATCGCCTCCCAATGCCCGTCTTCCTGTTGGACCCTGCCACCATCACCACTTTTCCGTCTCCAGTTATGTCTTCTCTTCGATAAATCTTCACTGCAAATTGTCAGACCGCCAAGTGGATAGACTCATGGCTTTTTCGAGTGTTCGCGCTAGGTAGATTTGATCCCCCCATATAAACAACCGGCGAGACGCCAGACATGCCTCCCCCACAACCACGGGTTAATGCACAAGATTTTCTGCCAGACCGTTGCTTTTTCCCTCCGTCACCTGCGCGTCTTCCCATTTTTACTGTTTTACTCTTAAATCAAGCCACCCCGGCGCCGACGTAGCCCAGACCATGCCGTTCCGGGCCAGTCCAGCCGACGCCCCCAAGCAGCGGACTCAGACTCCTCTCCAACCAGAGACACACCTCTTTAGTCCATCTGGTCAACGGTCGTCGCCGAGCCGTTGGTCTTCTGCTCCCCCACGACTGCCGTGCCGTCCGCCTGGCTGACGGCCACGTTCCAGCCGAACTCGTCCTTGAGCTTGCCCAGCTGGATGCCCTTGAGCGTCGACAGAAGCTTCAGGCAGGTCTCGCCCGCGTCCTCCTGGCTCGCGGGGATGTACGTCACCGTCTCCTCGCCCGCCTTGGCGCTGCTGACGCGCTCGTGCTGCTTGCCCGCGAGGGCCTGCGCCGAGGACGGGTCCACACGGCGCGTGATGGAGCGGATCGGCACCAGGGCGGCGGCGGTGCCGGCGGCCATGACTTCGGAGAAGGTGGGGAGCTCGCTGTACTTGATCTGTGTTGCGTGATGTTGTCAGTCGAAGGTTCACTGTAAACTGCATAAAGAGTACTCACCACACGCTTCTCGACCTTCCAGCCGAAGCTGCGGGCAATGTGCTGGATGCTGTCGCTCGTCACACTGTCGATGACGCACTTGGAATCCGGCACAACAAGCGTAACATCCTCGCCGTCCTTCTTGACACCGATGAAGCCGCTCGTGCTGAACTCGTCAATCTCCTCGTGCTTCACGCTATCCAGGTGCAGCGTAATCCCATAGCCCTCGTTGCGCGCGCGGTCGCTGAAGCGCAGCACGGGCGCGTAGTTGCCGCCGACCTTGGCATGTCCGGTGCCGTTCGGCGCGGCGCGGTCAAAGTCGTCGAGGATGAGCGCGTTGACGGGGTGGGTGCCGTGGTAGACGCCCGTGGGGATCACGAAGACGGCGAAGATGTACTCCTCGGGCGGGTTGAGGCCGAGCTGGGCGGAGGAGCCGTAGAGCTGGGGCCGGATGTACATGGCGGCGCCGGTCTCGTGGGGCGGGACGTAGCCGGCGTTGAGGGAGACGGCGGCCTTGACGGCGTCGAGGAAGAGGGCCTCGGGGACGCGCGGCATGGAGACGACGTCGGCGGAGTGCTGGAGGCGCAGGGCGTTCTTGTCCGGGCGGAAGACGTTGATTGTGGCGTCACCGGGCGCGCGGAAGGCCTTGAGGCCCTCGTAGGCTTGCTGGCCGTAGTTGAGGGCCGGGGCCATGCCGTGGATGCGCATGAAGGGGTCCGCGACGAACTTGAGGGGGGTCCATTGGCCGGTCGAGACGGAGTAGGTGGACTCGATGTGGCCGTTGACTGGGAGGGAAGAGGTTAGCTGAGGTCATCTAGGAGGGGGATTGACCGGAAAGGAGGGGTACTCACCTTCGCGGACCTTGAAGCCGACGTTGGACCAGTCAATGGTGTTGACTGGAGGGGGCGGGAAGGCGGCCATGGTGGTGATTGTGTCTGTTCGAGGGGTTTGGAGGGGATTCGAAGGGTATCGCGGGCGTCAGCGGAGGCGTGGAAAGCCAATTGAGTGACTCTGAGGAGGCGTCTCGACGGTAAAGATGCTTGAATCGTGGAGAGATGGATGGAGCTCCTCGTTGCGTGACACACCGAAATTTTAGTAGGGAGTCATTCGTGTGCAGGGCAGCACAGGAAAGTGTCCCGCACCGCCCGAATTATTTTGGAGGGGCGCCGATCTCGGGACTGCGGGGTGCCTGCCACTCGCGTGAGCTGCGCCCTTTCAGCGGCTGCTGATTGGCTAACGACCACTGAAGAGCTGACTGAGACGGCGGGGCATCCCTGTCCGCCTCCGTCTGCCGGAGCACCAAGTTCAGCCGTTTGCTGCAGTTCTCCAAATGCGAGGTGAAAGGGGTCCAACGGGCATGATGTCATTTTTCAATCTTGGGTGAGAATGTTCAATAATTGTTACAGCGTTTGGGGTGGGTGAATGATCAGATGAACCGTGTTGAGGTAATCATTTGTGAAAGCTTCATGTTCCAAGAGTCTGTGAGCTGACCTTTCTTGGCACACGAGAGAACTGGAAGCGCTCACTCAGCTCAGCGGAAGTCCGCACCTTGGCTATCATCAACTGAATGAACTGGAGCTACCTCTTGACAGGCCCTGGTGTCCTCAATCCTGCAAATGGAGACACCAGGAAGTATCAGTCCCCGATCAAGTCGGGGCGGCCCGTCCGAGCGGGTGCCGAGTGGGCCTCGGCCCGGCGCCGGAAGCACATCATCGACTACCTAGTACCTGACGGTGACAAAAGTGATGGAGCCGGGGTGAATCGAACACACCATCTCTCCCCCGGCAGGGTCTCTGGATACTTACCTTTGGTGTAGTCCGGGGACCTGAGACTCTGGAGGGGGAGCGCTTTACCGTTAAGCCACGGCCCCTTGGGTTTCTTGTTGATACTCTGTAACAGAGGAATAGGGTTATAAAGGCATATGCCTGTTTCGGTGGCGTCAAGATGTCCATTCAGAGTTGAGAAGCGTCGTTGATGAGGCCAAAACCAGTGGAAGGTTCGAAGCCATGTGAGGCAGCTCTGGTAGTGGCACTCAGTGGCTGACAGCTGGCACCTGGGAGGCTGTCTGCTCTTGACGAGGCTTACATGCCCATACAATTTGGAATCCCTCAGGCTCAACTTACTCCATGTCAAACCTGTCGACGTACTTCATCGTTTGTGGCTGTTGGCAAGTAAGGTAGTTGTAAAAAAGAAAGTAGTCTGCAACGCCCAGGCCTTATCTCCAGCGGTGGGGCTTCCCCACGGCGCGGATGCGTCACCCGGGCCGCCGTTTATCTTTTCAGCAAACTGCGGGGACACCGACCCAACCCAACCCCAGACACTGACATCCTTCCCAATCTCCAACAGGAGGGCCGCGAAAGTTGCTGTACTGATAAGACACAAAACGACTTATCTGATTAAGAGAAAGCGTACTTAATCCGGTGTCTTGCACTAAGAGCCATCGTATGCCCGTTGGCCCGCCTGAGCCGTGAGGCACAATGACAATTGCCTTCAGCATCAATCAAGAGCAGTAGCTTGCCGCCTGTGTGAGTCAGTCGCATGTGTATTTTGATATTCAATCTAACTATACACAGATACATCAACAATTGTCTCATACAGCGGCTGCCATGGACGAAGCTCGCTATGCTAAGCGGGCGCGTCAGGCCTGCGAGCCATGCCGGTGCGGACAACCCGCCACTCTCCCCGCACCTCATAGCCGCGGATCTGACGATAGACTACTAGCAAAAAGAAGTCGAAATGTCCTGGGGAAAGGCCAATATGCTCGTATTGTGAGAGACTTGGCCAGCAATGCGTGTACAATTCGTCCGCCGAAGTTGTCGATACGCATCAGACGAAACACAACAGAGAAATGGTACGGACACCACAGGGGTTGGCTTGGCAGGATTGAAGAAGGGAAGCTGAGTTTTTACGTTACAGGAACATCGAATGAACAGCCTCGAAGACAAGATGGACCGATTGATTCAACATCTTAGGTTAGATCCGTTGGTCCCGCTCGGCACACCGGCGTTGACCATCTCACAGTCCTGATCCTCAACCTCGGCGTCCGTCGTCCTCAAACCCCATACCATCACCCAAGCCTAGCACGGTGACAGAAGTCGCCGTTACCAGGCATGAAAGCCGTCCTGCTCAAAATCAAAGCCCCAGGTATTTTCAACTCAATGTTCGCAGTGACAAGAATGCCTCGCTGACCTGCCCCAAACAGCGGCATATCTGTTGTGACAGAAACCCATCTCAATGAGATTGGCCGCCTATACCTAACATGGTGTCACAGCCAACCGATCACGCTCTTCCACGAAGAGAGCTTCTTGACTTCACTTGCGACTCGAGCTCCCGAGCTGGTCCTCTCATTACAGGCACTGGTGCTTAGGTTTCCTCCAGGGTCACTGAGTCCAGATGCCGAACAGCAGCTCAACACCAAGGCGAGATCCGCCAGGCGTATGGTGATGGAACGCGTTACGGAAGGACGGGTTGAGCTCTCAACCTTACAATCTCTATGTCTCCTCAGCATGTTTGACTTTGCGAGTACTGCGCCCCATCATCCCCTCATCCGCATTTCCGTACTAACACCATCACAGCCGGCAACGTCACACAATCAGGCCTCAACCTCAGCATTGCAACCCACCTCTCCCACTCCATCCCGCCCTCCCGCAACCAGCGCACCGCCCACGAACTCAACCTCTGCCTCCGCGGCATCGCCGCTCTCCAAAACCTACAAGGCTGCATCGTCCCCGCCACCGCCTCCCTCCACAACACAAGCCACAACCTCAGCCTGGCCCCCTGCACCTCCCCCTCCCTCTCCCACCTCGACGACGCCGCCCCGGACAACAACATCTCCACCCTCGCCTCCCACTTCAGCGTCACCTGGCGCCTTGCCCGCGCCTACGCCGCCTCGCGCGTCTCCCCGGACGCCCCGCCCCCGTGGGACTCGCGCTCCGACTACTCCACCGTCATGCAGTCCCACCACGACATCGACTGCCGCGCGTCCGCCAAGTACCGCTTCGCCTGCAACCGCATCGGCGACTACTCCCCAGAGGCGATCCAGGCGCAGCGCCACTGGTGGATGCCCTTCCTCTTCATCCAGTTCGTGCACGAGACGATCCCGTGCCTGCTCAACCATCCCTTCCTGCTGTCCATGCGCCTGCGCAGCTTCCGGCAGACGATCCCCGTGTACTTCATGCAGCAGTCCTTCGAGGCGATCAACCGCAACGCCGGGTGGGTGATTTACTTTGTGGATGTGCTGGAGAAGAAGGGCGTGCAGGTGTCGGATCCCGTGCTGGCGCACTGTGTGGTGATTGTGGCGACAATTCATTTGCAGCACAGCTTCATGCAGGATGATCTGTTGAGGGGGAAGGCGCAGACGGGGTTTGAGAAGTGTATGAGGTTTTTGAGGAGGATGGGGGCTGTGTGGCCTTGTGTTGCCAACATGGTGAGTGAACTGACACCAAAGAGGATGCAGGCTGACGCGGAGTAGGCGAATAATCTGAGGAGACTTCAGGACAGCATCGTCTTGAGACCATCACCCGCTCAGCAAGATGGATCCTCCCAGAGCCGGTCCTTCTCAATCAACAGCCAGCTTCTATGGGACCTTCTCATCTACGACAAGGCAGTCCGCCCCGACGCTGGCTGGGACCAATCCATGTTCGGGCCAACGCTCAAGGCCGACGTTGCAGAGCTGTCCGCCGAGGACCGGGCTGCCGAGTTCGATCTCGTGGGGTCGGCGGGCATATCCGGACACAAGGCCATGCCGAACGAAGCGGCCGTGTGGCCCCCCAACGAAGATCCGCCGCCTGTGGATCTGCCACAGAACGCGGGCCTCGATGCGCAGGTGGGTGACTTGGCGGGCGGGCCGTCGTTTGAGGATATCTTCTTTGAAGGTGTGGGGCCGTTTGGAGACCAGGCGAATAGGTTCTTTGATGGGAACGACTACGGACGGGCGATTGACGATTGGTTGAATCTAGGGACATAGCTATGCAAATTCATTCTTGGTATACGCAGATGATTGACACTCTTGAGGTTCAACAGAGAATTCGACGCATGTGTTTAATCACCAAGCCAACCCTTCCATCCGCTCCGGACTAGCAATACAATCAAGCCCCTTGCAAAAAGAAACATCCTCATCCGTCTTCTTCGAGACCTCATGCCGAGGCGTAGCGGGCCAGATCTCACCACCCTCATTCACCTCCTTTTGCCTATGACTAACGACGAGATCTCGGGTAACCTGCTGGAAGAACAGCGGCCCCTTCTCCACCCGCGGGTGAAGCTCCCCATTCACAAAGATGCCCGCGTTCAGGTTTCGTTGCGCGCCGTTGCAGAGATCCTTGTCCTCGCGAAGCACCTGCTTGAAGAACTCGGAGATGCTGGTGAACTCTTCCTCCGTCGAGTTCTTGTTGCGGTACACCTCATACTCCATCTTCGTCTGGGTGGCGGAGACGGGGACGCAGCGCATGATATACATGAAATCTGGTCTAGTATGCGGAGATGGCGGTGTTAGTGTTTGAGTGTCAATGATTGGGGATGTACGAGCTTACGTGACTGTCATGGACGCGTTGGGGTAGTAGAATGTACTGTAGATGCCCAGGCCCTGAACATCCGGCTTGTCCACGTTCCAGTGCTGGATCCAGTTGCCCCTTGTCTCGACCCAGTACTTGGTAAGGTCTGTGGTGCTAGCAACGGCGGGGTGCCCTGTTGGACAGTGGTAACACTGCATTGTTCTTGTCAGACTCGTCAATGGCGTCGTTATGCAGAGACGCACATACCTCGTTGTAATTGTCGGCCAAAGTCTTCCAGTTATAATCACCAAGCATCTCCCACGCATGATCAAATACGTAGTCATCCATCTTGAAGTTCTGCAGCCGCGGCTGTTCGTCAACCTGCGTAAAGAACTCTTCCCACGAGACACCAGGCTTTTCCGCCGCATCCAGGTTAACCCAGACGAAGCCAAGCTGGTCTACGTGGACGTGGACCTTGAACAGGCTGTTCTGCGTCTTATCGAAGGACGGAAGCTCCTGATACTTTGGCGCCTTGGCCAACTTGCCGTCGAAACCATATGACCAAGCTTTGAGGCATATCGTATTAGCATACAAATCAGACTCTGTGTTCAACAGGCCGTACATACCATGATATTTGCATGCAAGAACATTCATATGCCCGCTATCCGTCTCCACAAGCGGATACGCACGGTGGCGACAGACGTTGTGATGCCCCCGAATCTCGCCCTTGCGGTCCTTGACGAGGAAGAAGTTGAACCCCGCCTCTGTGATCTGCACAAAGTCACCGGCTTCGACGAAGCGCGCCTTGTGCGAGACGAGCAGCCACCGCTTCGAGAAGATGGCGCGGCGCTCTAGCTCGTACATGCCCGGCGAGCGGTACCATGACGCGGGGAGGGCTCGGACGGACTGGGGTTCTGAAGGAGTTGAGGAGGGGGTGTCGGTGGACTTTCCTAGACCGAGCCAGTTCATCTTGGTGTTGTTCGTTGCTACCAAAGACTAAGACGATTGTTCACGAAGAGAGCAAGGATTGAGCAATGAATGGAGCCGATTACGCGATGATATCAGGGTATGTTTCTATGGGCCAAGCTAGCAAACTATTCCAAACGACATCCTCATGCGAATCTCGCTATATACCAGTTGTGCAAGCTAACAGGCCTCGAGATAAGGAGCTCGAGGTGGTCTCGGCATGCATGCCGGATCCCTGCCGGGAGGGGTGGCCCGTCCGCAGGTCCCCGTAAGTGGGTACGGACCGTGTTCCGTACCCACTTTGACGCCAGCCACAGTCCGCCCTCGATATCGACGAGAAACCGATTGGACAATGCAGTAACACGACCCCGAAGTCGGTGGACATGTCAATCTTGGAATTCTCGCGATTTCCATGACGGGGCAAAAACAGCTGATTTGTGACATTCTCCGCCTGCTCACAGACCTCAGCTGGATCAATATCAGCGACGCGTGGTTGTCTCTGCGCTTCTCTCCCTCAAGCCAACATTACATCGTCGTCTCTCGCGTTCCGTCGCCTCACTGAGCCACCAGACGACTGCCAACACCCAGCCAAAATGCCGTCCAAACGAATCCCCAAAGACGCGCCCATAGTCATCGTCGGCGCAGGCGTCTTCGGCCTCTCCACGGCCCTCGAGCTCCGAAAGCGCGGCTACCTCCACATCACCGTCCTCGACCGCTTCCTACCCCCCGTCCCCGACGGCAGCAGCGTCGACATCTCGCGCATCATCCGCGTCGACTACGCCGACCCCGTCTACTCCCAGATGGCGCGCGAGGCGTACGCGGGCTGGAACGCGCAGTACTCGGACCACTACCACGAGTCCGGGTTCGTCATGCTCGCCGACCGCAAGGGCAACGGGTGGCTGGACGCGTCGCGCGAGGTCGCTGCAGAGAGCGGCGTGGAGCTGACCAACTATGCGGACGCGAACGACGTGCTGAAGGACTATCCGAGCGCGAAGGCGGACTTTGAGGGGCTGCAGGCGTGTATTAACCGTCGCGGCGGGTGGGCTGATGCGAAGGGGGCTATTGCGCAGTTGGCGGGGGAGTGTAGCCAGCTTGGGGTGCAGTTCGTCGCAGGAGCACGGGGGACGGTGAAGTCGCTCAAGTTCGAGGAGGGGAGGGTTGTTGGGGTCAATGTCCTCGAGGGCCCGCCGGTTCTCGGGGAGAAGGTTATCTTGGCGACGGGAGCGTGGACGAATCGCATCATTCCCATTTCTCATGCTAGCTCTGCTTCTGGACAGCCTGTTGGGTTCATCCAGCTTACGGAGGAAGAGGCTGAGAGGTTGAAGGATATGCCCGTCATGATCAACTTCGAGTCGGGCGTCTTCATCTTCCCGCCTACGAAGGGGAAGAACCCCATCCTGAAGCTCGCCCGTCATGGGTACGGGTATGCTACTGAGGTTTCTGTTGGCGATGATGGTTCTCAGAGGGTCATCTCTACGCCAAGGAGAGATGGCAGTAATGCGGCGACGGGATATCTCCCCGATGACGCGGATGAAGGTCTGAGGGAAGGTGTAAAGCAGCTGTTGCCCGAGTTTGCGTCGCGGCCTTGGGTCAACCGGCGCTTGTGCTGGTACTCTGACACTCCCGAGGGAGATTTCATCATGGATTATCACCCGTCTATTGAAGGAGTCTTCTTCGCTACCGGAGGAGCGGGACAGTAAGTAATCCCACATCATGCAATCAATGACAATGGCTGACCACATGTCACGATCAGCGCTTTCAAGTTCTTGCCTGTCTTGGGCAAGTACATTTCGGACTGCTTTGAGAAGAAGGCACCACAAGAACTACGACACAAGTGGAGGTTGCGCGCATCTGAAGGACAGGATGAATTGAAATTGGGAGACGGCAGTCGAGGCGGTCCGCCTCTGCGAAAATTGACGCCCGTTGAGCAGTCGAAGTTATAAATTTGGCGATATATAGACATAGATTCCGCGGGCCATGACAACCGATCAGTTCTAGACAAGTCGAATTTGACTTCACAAAGCACCTGTGAACTAATGTGAACCTCTTTGTGTTAAAAGCGCTCCGTTGAGAGCCATCCAGCCAGCTCCGAGAATACATTGCTTATTATGTGAGAAGACTAAGACATGTTGATGCTGACATGCGCCGCTGGCCTCAAAGCTTCGATGTCGGCGATGCCGCGAAGAGGTCCTGTTGGCCAGGGCTTATCGCACGGCCGGGATCCACCCGGTCCGCCTCCGGCCTACGCCGCGCCGTCCCCACTTACGGGAGATAAGTCCTGTCCACTCGGAGTGCTGCAATCAAGAGTAAGATAAGAGAACAAAGTTGAGAATGCCATGCATGTGAGTGATGGACGATAGACGATAGACACCGAGCCAAGTCGTCGTTCTCAATCCGATGACCATAGAGAGCAGACCAAATTCAAAGCCTCATCAGAAAAGCAGAGACTTCTCAGCCGCAGTCAAATCCCCACGGAAGCCAAACACCTAGACATCATGAACGGTAACACCCAATATGGAGGCACATCTCATGGTCCGCCGCAAGAGCGCAGGAAAGTCCCGTATCGGCGCATACATGCCGTGATCATCGGCGCGGGGTAAGTTCTGGTAATAATGCTGGGGTCACGTCATGATGTAACTGACACCGTCTAAATAAGAGTGTCAGGGATTTTGATGGGTAATGCATTCTTCAGAAAAGTCCTTCCGGTAGACTAACATTATGGGACGTTAGCCTACAAGTTGAGAAAGTACCTTGGAGAATACGTTGATTTTCACATCCTGGAAAAGTCCCCAGAACTGGGGGGGACTTGGTTCGAAAACAGGTATCCAGGTAAGCTATTGTCCATCCTTCCCTAAGGCTCTTCGTCTGACTCTTCATCGACAAGGATGCGCGTGTGATGTTCCCAGTCATTGCTATCAGTACAGCTTTGCTCCCAATCCCGACTGGTCAAAATTGTAAGATGAATATAATCAACAGTGGGTGGAATCATGCTGACAAAATATCTGTATAGTTACGCATCTTCCCAAGAAATCAAGGCTTACCTCGACGGAGTTGCGAAACACTTTGACCTAAAAAGGTTCATCAAGTTCAACACCAAGGTCACCAACGCGCAGTGGTCCGAGGTCAGCAGCACTTGGACTGTCAAAGTCGAGAATGGGTCCACCTATGAGGCGGAGGTCTTATTCAATGCCGGTGGTATCCTCAATAACCTCCAAATGCCGAACATCACTGGCATTAACACCTTCGCTGGTCCCATTCTTCACACCGCCGATTGGGACTCATCGGTGGATCTCAAGGGTAAAAGGATTGGCGTCATCGGCGCTGGGGCCAGTGCCGTTCAGCTATTACCTCAGATACAGCCGACGGCGACGAAAGTCACCGCCTTCATCCGCACACCGTCCTGGATCTCACCGCCCGTCGCTCTACCAGAGGCTGACCGGCCAAGCTACTCTTATGACGAAGGGGAGAAGACCAGATTCCGAGAAAACGATGCCGAATACCTTGAAGACCGGAAGCGGCTGGAGGCGCAGTTCAATGGCATGTTTGACGCCTTCTTCAAAGCCAGCCCGCAGCAGAGGGACCTCCGGGAACGATTTGAAAGCCGCATGAGATCTCTGATTCGCGATGTGGCTCTTCAAGAGCGGCTGATTCCCAAGTTCGAGGCGGGCTGTCGACGGATTAATCCTGGAGAGCAGTACCTTCTGACTCTCCAGGAGCCAAACGTTGAGCCGGTCTTTGAAAATATTGAAAAGATTACTTCTACTGGCATAGTCGCCGGCGGAGTCGAGTATCCTGTTGATGTTCTCATCGCTGCTACCGGTTTTAACACAACCTTCAGGCCGCGCTTCCCGATCATCGGTAGAGATGGCAAGAACTTGCAGGATATTTGGGCTGAGAACCCCACGTCTTACTGCGGGACAGGTGTTTCTGGATTTCCCAACTACATGATATTCTTGGGTCCTAATACGCCCATCTCAAATGGCAGTCTCATGGGTAAGTAAAAAGCCTCAGAGTCTTCGGCCAACACTAACAAATCGGAAACAGGCCCAATCGAAGCTACGGGCGACTACTTCGTCCGCATTCTCACCAAGATGATCCGACAACGCATCAAGTCTTTTGACGTACGCATCGAGGCTCAAACAGACTTTGACAACCACACACAAGAGTTCATGCGTCAGGCAGTCTGGACAGGAACATGTCGCAGTTGGTGTAAGTTCACCTCACGTGGGCAAAGTCAGCAGAAGTATTTAGCTGATCAAATTCTCCGCGTAGTCAAGAAAGACGTCAACGGGAAGGTGAGCGCTTTGTGGTGCGGAAGCTCGCTTCATTACATGCAGTCACTTGCCGAAGACCGCTGGGAGGATTATGAATGGCGTTTTGACGGGAACCGCTATGCCTACTGGGGTAATGGGTTTTCATGGATCGAGCAGCCCGCGTTGGATCCCTTGGGCATTGAGGAGAGGGAGTACTCAAATACAATGACCACCATTGCACAAAGATCATCGGACCTCAGCTTCTATCTTGGTAAGGCTGATCCCTTGCCCAAAGGGGTCTTGTCTCACGTGGTGGACGTCGAAGCTCAGTGTCAGCATATTGTGGGGCAGGCTGAGGTCCACGGGACCGATCTGACCAAGTCCGATGTGAAAGACGCGGACGTTACTGAGCAGGAGATGCGTTCTGGTTTAGAGTCTTATGCTCCAGCTATTGCTGTGGGGGTTTGATACTAGCTGCAATAAATCGATTTCTCTATGAAAATACCGGTTCATATACGTCTGCAATGAGACAGACGAGCAGGCAGTTAGCCGAAGTATTGATGCATAGTGAACCTTCAGTGTGGTGTCAGGTAGTGAGTTACTCTAATACGTCTAGTCCTGCTGATCAATACCGGCTGACTCCGGCAAACCCAAGAGACGTATAGCATTCGTTCGCGATATCATATCCACCTCATCCTCTGTCAAAGTGTTCGTTGTGAGAAGTTCGGTGAGAAATCTTTTGCTGCTACTGCTGGATTCGAACGGATAATCGACACTGAACAGGATATGTTCTATCCCCGTCACCTGCCTCAGCATTTTGAATGTGTCGACACAGAAAATGCCGCTCGTCGTGATCCATATGTTGTCATGCCACACATCCTTGATGGACTTCGATCCCTTGTCGGCCATGGCTTGGAAAGCTGGCATACTCTCAACTCGGGAAAGCATCATGGGCAAAAGCTCTCCCATGTGGCCGATGATGATCTTTAGCTTAGGAAATCTTTCGAACACCCCAGCAAGGTAGAGCTTCAGAATATGCAAGCCCACGTCTTCATGCCAGCCCCATGAAGCCGTGCCGAGACCTATTTCCGCCATGGTGGAGTAATTACCGCGATAACGCGATTTGAACACTTCGGGAGTTGGAGGTGAAGGATGAAGGTAAATTGGGACGCCCAGCTCTTCCGCGGCTCCGAAAATGGGCCAGAAACGACTATCGTCATAGTGCGTCATGTCTTCCAGGTGATTGTCGACCATCGCGCCCACAAACCCCAAATCATTGACGGCACGTCGGAGTTCCGTGACAGCATCGTCGGGAAAGCCCATCGGGAGGGCAGCAAAGCCGGCGAAACGATCAGGAGTCTGGCGAATGGCCTTTGCCATCTCATCATTCGCGCGTCGGCACAAATCTGGCCGGTTCGTGGCTACTCCGGGGAGGTGAGATAGAATTTGGAAAGCAATCCCGCCGGCTTTCATATCGGAAAGACGTAGAGAGCCAAGGTCCCATGCTCTTGCCTGTTGATCGGGATGGATCTCCCATATGTTCTTGTAAAATGGGTAGTCATCGCCGAACGAAGGGAAAATGACATGCTCCTCTAGGGTGATAGCTTGGCTGTTCAAAGCCATGATTGAAACAAGATGTTGGTCGTTATGTGGTTTTTTTTTTCTTTTTACCAGGATATTCGCACGTGAATGCTTCGTCGTTCCTTCTTCATATGGATTCTGGGGTACTCTGGCGAGCTTTTATAACTACTTGAGTATGTGGATTCATTGCGGACGAAGGCAACGGATGGCCCGGCAAATTGAGAGTCGGTACAAACAACGAAAACACCGAAAGGCGATGTGGCGAGAACAATTGTGGGCAAGTCAAATGAGTGGGCGAGCAAGATGTTCTTCGAATTTGAATAAACCGGTTAGTTGTATCAGGATTGGCTATCAGAATCCGAAAGCGAGGTTCAGCATGTCATCGCAGTTTGGTGTGACATGGGGTTTTAGCTTCACGCGTAGAAGCTGATGTGCGGCCCGACCGGAACACTATCGGCACTTCGCGCTTCCGGCACTCGTTGCCTTCAACCCGTGGCCCGCAATCACATGACGGTACGACACACACGATTTACTACTTTTCTCCGGTGTGATACTGCCAAACATGACTGTATCCTTCCTATGCTTTCCAACGAAAGACTCCGCACAATGGCTCAACCACGCACGGAGAGAGTGCGTAAGTATGGACGCTCGTTATAATCGAAGAGGCTGTGGCAGAGGAAGCTCCAACGAGGTCTGGACCCAGGAGTATTGAGGATGATAATTCCTCACTCATTTGGGCCAAGCATATGGGACTACAACATCCACCGCATTTCACCAATGGAATTCGCAGTAACCGGAGAGAACATGTTGCTCGCTCAGACCATAACTCGCCACTTCAATCTTTTCTTACTAAACTGGGAGCAGGTTGATTTTATTCCTTCAAGTAAAGCACAGAACGTGTGACAACTGGCATAGGTAGATTAATCACGCCTTAACAAGCCTCTTTCCAATGTCGAGGTAGAGGAGGAATCAGACTTGATTGTGGTGAGCCAACGCCTGCTCCATGAACAGACTCTCTGTCTCTATCCCAACGAGTAGATTTATGCAATCATTATGAATCGCAGCTGGTCAAAGGTCACATTTTGTGACCTCTGGGTGTTCTGAGGCCAACCCCCCTGGTTAGGAGCTTGCCGCAATTGGAAAGTGCCTGAAGTGGCTTGATTAATCTAGCTACGAGCGCCGGGCGCGCCCGGCTTGTAGGACAAAGTGGTGTGGCCGATCCCTTACCTAAAGGCGGGTTTCGGGCAACGGGTAAACGGGCGTAAGCGAGCCGCTGCGAGAACCCCTGCAAATGGGTCTTTTGGTCGACTGGAAGACAAGCGCCTGCGCCGCACGCTCAGCTGCCTAAATGCCATCTGACTTCGCTTGGAGAAGCCTGCAAAGTCAAGGTTACACATGGAGTCTAGAGATACTCGACCGCCACTCGCTTTTCAGCTCTAGATTTTGAATACTTGGGTGTTTGAGTTAGGAACATTTGGTTATGCTATTAAGTATCTTCGGCAGTCTTTTCGAGACCCCTGCTTGTGAGCAAAGGTTGGGAAGTTTGTTCGCTAAAGACGAACCAGTAGTTATTATTATAGGTAGTATAAAGTAAATATTCAAATAAATTATGAATCTCTCTATTACTGAGAATAGTATGAAAGAGAATTCAAAGTTCCCCCTCTCTCCAAGTACCCCTATGCAGCGCTAGGCAGATACACCTAGGTGCTACTAATAAACTAGGCTTTTTGGTTGGTCAAAAAAGCGTTGATTGGCCCCTGAGTTGCTGCTTCCCCTCACGAAGATGTACTGTAGTCAGTTGGCACCCCATGGGATAATGACTTCGAATGTAAGCAGCCTAAGCGATCCGAGGAAGGCATAAGCTATTCTCAACTGAGAGGGTGGTGTGGTCTGAGTGCCTAAGTCCGAGGTGCCTGAGTCCGAGGCGTCAGCTGCAATATAATCCTGCGCCAAGGGCCGCGCCTACGATAGCTTTACGTTGTCTTCTTCCACCGAGAGCCGATCAATGCAATCGGCCTCAGCGACTTTAGCCAAGGAACGCATTGTAAGGTCATGCTTATGGTATTGCAACATCGTGCTTATGGTATTGTAACATGATGCATCATTCTACACATTCAACGGAAACTGGTACACACATCCACCTTCGCTTTCAACCCCTGAAGCTTCGGAAACAATGACTTACACGAGAAGCCAGCAGAGGAGAGTAGCAGCAGATGAGACTGGGCGAGCGGACGAGATGCGCCGACCAGATGTCGAAGACTCTGTGATAGAAGTCTCCCAGAAATGTATAAAAGGCTCGCTCCTGTCTCTGTCTGTGGAAGGTCTTGACTCTATCTCCATCCACCTCAATATCTTCGGCCTCCCAGCAAAAAACCCAATCCCGCATTAAGCAATTTGCACAGCTTCACTCTAGAGATCAATTTCTCCATCTTTACCAAGCAAAATGAAGTTCTTCGCCATTGTCAGCCTTGTCTCAGGCCTCTTCGCAACCGCCGCCTCGGCCGTCGACCTGCACCTCGAGTTTGCGGGCGGCTGTAGCACCAGCGGCGGCGGATTTATCTGCCGGGGCTGGAATCCCAACACTTGTTGCAGCGTCAACTCGGGTACCTACTTCGCCAGCGCCTCGTTCAGGGCCATCCCGGCCAACTGGAATCTCCAGTGCCGTGGCCACGCCGGTCCCAACTGCGGCTCCATCCGCTCGCAGCAGGACAGCGGTGGCCGCGACTACATTTGCCTGAGCAACGGCCCCTATGGGGGGATAGGCTACGGCTTTAACAACAAGAAGATGATCCGCGGTGCGACACTGGACGCCCGCGACGGTGAGGAGACTGAAGGCTGTGCCCAGCCGGACGTCCTGTACCTCGCCGACGGCACCCAGTACAACTACACCGCCATTGCCGAGGCTGGCCAGGCCACCGACGAGCTTGTCTCGATTATCAAGAATGGCGCATCTGCCAACGATATTCCCAGCGTTGACGAATTCAAGCTCGACTAAAAGCTCGTTCTGTGAACATCAGGCGTGACTCCAGGACGCATCGCGCTATCACGCCCTCCCTAAGCCTTGCACAGATATCCTATTGCGAGTGCTTCACCTGTTTTACCAGGTTATGATGCGGCCTATCGCCTAGGATTGAGCGGGTTAATACGTCTCTTATCCTGCAATTTGCCCTTTTTAATGAGGGGACGGGAGGTGGTTCTTTTCTCTTTCTTCATATGCTCAGCTTATCTGAGTATACTTACACACTCCTTTTGAACATTACAGTAGATTAAGCTTAGGTACTTAGATAATAAAAGATAAGACCTTTACTACTGTAAGCTACCTAATTAGTACACTACACCTCTTCACAAGTAAAATGGTCGACCTAAGCTCTGGATCACGGCAAGAATCACGAAATCCCCAAAACCTTTGACAAAGGGCGTCGAGAATATCAGAATGCGTCGCCTACGATTTCCGCAATAGGACAGCATGCGAGAGCGAGAAATTCCACCAGACCACAAATCACGCAAGTCCACAAACAGAAGCTGAGAAATTAGAATAACAGCAAATTACTACCAAGAGCATGCTCGCGCAGCACCACCAGGATGCTAAATATGACACGTATGCAGTTTAAGAACGTGAGGGAAGAAAGACTTGCGCAAGACTAGGCTTATTAGCCTCCGTCACCAACGTTCGATTTTGTGCATCCCCTAAAGATCCATCAATTCACACACTATGAAGACGCAAAAGATGTTCGCTTGGTGAGAGGGAAATTGGTGTCTTGCCCTATGCTTGGAAAACCGGTCATAAAACACCTTCATATTATAAAATCAAGCAATATTAGGAATTGCAGGTGGTCAAACGTTCCATTTTCTGACCTTTGGCTGTTCCGAGTCCACATCCCTTGGCTAATTAGAAGCTTGCTATAAGCGGCAAGCGTGGCGAGAACCCCTGTACATGGCTCTTTGGCTCCAGAGGGCAAGCGCCTGCGCCGCACGCTCTGCTGCCTAATTCCGACTCCGCTTGGAGAACTCTGCAAAGTAAAGGTTGTGCATCGAGATACTCGACCACTATCCGTCTTTCTCTTATAGAGTGTGGCCTATTGATTTTGTTTCAGGAGATCCGGACCATTTGAACGATCTAAAAGATGTCGTCAGGTATCTTCGGCAGTCTATTTGGGACCCCTGCTCGTGGAAAAAAGTCAGGCAGTTTATTCGCCAAAGACGACCCAGTCATCCTTACTCATGATGATGTGCGCGATTACAACGAAGACAACATCCTCCCTCAAACGCCAGAAACTCTTGCAAAGATTCGAGAATGGCTACAACCAACAGGCTACGACGACGACAGCAGCGAATACAAGAAACATCTCTCTTTTCATCTCGATGGCACCGGCGACTGGCTCTTGTCTTCGCTTAGCTATCACACGTGGCATGATGGCAGTGATAACGGCCTGCTCTGGATCCGAGGTAAGTGAGAAAGCCATGATTCTTGAGATGGTATTGGGGAAGCTAATTAATGTGGCCTGTAGGCATACCTGGCTCGGGAAAGTCGGTCCTTGCTGCTTCCCTGATTCATCGCCTACTCCAAGAGGACGTTCCAGTGCTGTACTTTTTCTTCCGGCAGACTATCGAGTCCAATCATGAGCCAGTGGCTGCCCTTCGAGATTGGTTAGCACAAGTTCTCAAGTTCAGTCCGCCGCTTCAATTGCGAATGAAGCGAATTCTGGACGAAAACCGTCCCTTGGACAGCGTCTCAATTGACGGTTTCTGGAGTTATCTACGAATTGCGCTGGCTCAGCTCCCAAAGGCCTATTGTGTGGTTGATGCACTGGATGAAATGGACCAAACGGAACAGACACATTCCTTCTTGAAAACCTTGGCTGAACTCGGTCAATCCAAGTTGAAAATCGTCATGACCAGCCGACCATTAGCCATCATTGAGAAGCCGCCACGAAACGCAAAGTTTGTCAGCATTAGACTTGAAGAGGACAAGGTTGATAGAGATATCGCCGCCTATGTCCAAGACAGGCTGTCTACATCATCGATACCAGAGGAATACCACGTTGTTATCCAAAGAGCAGTTCCAGGAAATGCCAATGGCCTTTTTCTCTACGCCAAGCTAGCAATGGATTCCTTTCTTCGCCCCGAAGCCAGCATTCAACAGGTTCTGAAGAACCTACCCTCCAATCTCGATATCATGTACAGTGATATTCTTCAAGAGCATGCCACAAGGTCCGGCATGCCCCAGGATATTCAGATACTGGTCATGCAATGGGTTACTCATGCTGGGAGACCTCTCAGATTGCTCGAAATCGCAGAGATCATCAATACTACGCAAGGTTCAAAGACGTCGCTGAATCTCAAAGACACCAAGGAACTTGTTCGTGCTGCATGCGGGCCGCTTTTGGAGATTCTCCCGAACGAGACGATATGCGTCGTTCATCACTCTTTGACGGAGTTTTTGACAGGGTCAACCACGGATCCCAAAACAAGGAATTTTCCCATTCTCGAGTATGGAGCTACTCACAATCTTCTCGCCGCTCAATGTCTCTCCTATCTCCTTTCGAGGTGTTTGGATGAGGTCCAGCTTCAACCTAGGAAGCTCTCGTTTAGACCGGCTCACGAGTGCCCTGCAGTTGTGAACCACGACAAACGATGGTTGGCTGCGCCATTCCTGAAGTACGCTGCACTGAACTGGCATCATCATGTCAGGAAGGCAGAGTCCGCAGGGTTCGACCAAACAGAGATCAGGCGCCTTCTAAACAAACTTCTCGACGGAGAAAATCTGTTGAAGTGGGGCGCCCTGGCTCGGGTTTGGAGGAATTATGTCGACGCAACGCCTCTCCTGACAGCTATTGATCTCGGTCTTGTGGACTTCACCCGGATTCTACTTGAAAGACCTGAGGAAATAAAGGACATCGATGATGCTGAGACACATTCCTGGGCGTTGCCACGTGCCGCGCGGCTGGGCCATCACAGGATTGTTGATTTGCTCTTAGAACATGGCAAGGACGTGAACGCGTTCGATAGTGAGGGATACACTGCCCTTCATCATGCATCCCGACACAATTACCTGACCATCGTTATCAGGCTTCTTCATGCCGAGGCAGATCCTTTCGTACGGGATATAGCACACACCAAAGTGAGCGACAGGTCATTTGGATCTTTCGAACAGAAGGGTTCATTAGCTTTCGACTTTGCATGTATGAGCGGCCACAACGATGTTGCAATCGCCCTTGCATCATACTTCGATGCGTCTAGCAAGGCAACTTACGCATTTCAGCGCGCTGTCCAGTCAAAACTGTTTGTAGTCGCAGACAAGATCCTGAAGAGTTCTCTGGTGGATATAAACGCACCGATGACTGGCTGGTTCGTCGGTACCTTACTTCACAACGCTTGTGAGAAACGCGATCTCGAGTCCATCAAATGGCTCCTTGCAGCAGGCGCTGACCCAAATGTGCTGCGATCTACGCCAGGCTCCGAAGCCCGACCATCGGATGTGGGTGAATCTGCACTTCACGCGCTGACCTTACGGAGAGAGTTCGGCATCTATGCTGATCCTGGCCCCAAAGTGACGGCGGCATGCTTTGATGCATTGCTTCGAGCAGGAGCCAATGTGGATCAGACGAACTCTGACCTCGAGACGCCACTGCACTTTGCCCGCGATGCCTCGACTGTGGGCATACTTCTCGAAGCCGGTGCAAACCCAAACGCAACTACGAGGCATGGAGAGACACTGCTACATCTATCGAATGACCGAGACATCATACGGATGCTTCTGGAGGATGCCAAAGCAGACACAACGCTGAAGACATATGCCGGCTATACTCCTCTCCTGTTGTCATTGAGCGACGGTGAGCTTGATAAGGCGATACAACTGGTTGACTTCGGCGTCGAAGTGTTGGATATCAACGAAGAGGGAGATGGTATCTTTCACTATCTTGTTGGGATCAAGGCCGACACTGGAAAGATAGTGGGGTTGATTGAGCGCCTGATAGCCTCCAGCGCCGATATCAATACGCGGAACAAGAAGGGAGAGACAGCCCTGCATTATCTCGGATGCACTAGTAACGCATTCGGGGGTATAGGATTCTCCTTGAATCGAGATGAACTCGACGAGTTGTTACTTGCTGCGCTGCTCCGAGCCGGTGCTCGGATAGATATGAGAGACAACGAAGGCCAGACCCCTTTGTACAGCATGGTTACGAGGACGGGCTTCTCCAGGGTTCAAGGTTGCAGGGATACCTGCGAAAAGATGATATACGCGGGTGCAGTTCTCGACACGACTAACGCAGAAGGAAAGACTCTGCTTCAGGGTTATCTGGCTCACGGTGGATTTGATATCGAATGTTTCAGGTATCTGATCGAAAAGGGCATTAGCCCGCACCAAGCTGACCTCGATGGCAACACTCTTTGGCATATTATATTGCCACGTCATTGTCAGAGTCAAAATCAAAATGGCAACACCTTCATCAGTATCTTCGAGGAGATTCTCAGTCTTGGAGTGAGTTTGGATCAACCAAATCACGCCGGCTGGACACCCCTTCATGTTGCCAGTAGCTGGTTGCCTGAAAGTTTCAAGAAGTCGGCTTTCAACACAATGCAGACCTCATCAGTCGAAAGAGCCACCACCTTTGAGAGAGTCCTCGAGCTCCAGAATGATGTCAACTTTCCAGACCAACACGGAGTTACAGCTCTTCATTTGGCGTCCACGTTCTCCCAATACCACACCATGAGGTTGCTGCAAGCAGGCGCGGACCCCTGGAAGACTACGAATGATGGTCTGACCGCCCTGCACCTTGCGATACTCAACAGGAAGACAAATATTGCGGGGATGCTGATCGAAGCCCTCGATAGCGTCTGCCTTAGCTCGATGGTAAACATGCAGGACATCCGAGGCAGGACACCGTTGTATTACGCCTGCGCCTCCGGTACAATCGAGACTGTGAGACTGCTGTTAGAAGCAGGGGCAGAAATCGAGACCGCCACATTCGAAGGTTCTGCCTGGGATGGCTGTGCCCACATTGAGGTAGCACCACCATGTGGTCCCTCGTCCACGATTGGCTCCATGAACAAGTTCGACAAGCCGGACCACGGATATGTCACAGTTTTTGAACAGCAACTGCCTCAACCCTATTCCTATTCTCAGTCCTCCTCGGAGTATCTTTTTGAAGTTTTAGAGCTTCTCATTCATACTGCAGGTTGCAAAGCCGAGACGATTGACAACGCAATCACGGTTGCTGCGCACATCAAGAAGGAGTTCACCGTTGAATGCCTCCTGCATGCTCGAAAGTCACTTCAGAATCAACAAAATTTCATGTCTGAGGAAGCCGAAACAGCTGGTTTTGTTGCGATAGTAGTGCAGCTCTGTGATGGCGCTTCGCCAGAGAGGCCCCGTATCTATGGCCGTTTTCCAAACCCCAGCGATGTTCATTCACACAAGCTTTGGGATCTCAGGTTCCCGGAACTCGCAGCCCAGGAGCGGCAGAAGATCAACTGTCTTGAGCTGAGCAACGACAAAAGAACTATTCTACACGATCTTGTATCTCGTGGCGAGGCTTCAAAACTTGCTGACCTTCTGACCCCGGAGATTATCTCAAAGTTGGAGGATCCCGAATGGTGCCTGGAACATGAGAAGGGTAGCGGTTACATGATTCAGCCGCTCCTGATTACGGCTTGCTCACGCGAACAGCCGAATATGGATGTCTTGCGCGTACTGGTCGAGTCCATTGGCGTCAACCTTGACTCGCTCAGTCGATCAAAATCTGGATGGGATCTTGTCAGCCCATCTGCTCTTCACATCCTGGTCAGAGGCGATTTCTGGTGGCAAGTTGGTCAAGCTCTGCCTTACCTAATCAAGAAAGGAGCCAACATGGAAGTTCGCGATGGAAACGGTCGAACACCGCTAAACTATGCCCTCAGTCACGCCGGGACAATCATCTTCCAGAGAAAGGTTGTTCAAACACTGATTGAGCTCGGCGCAGATGTCAACTCTATCGATGATAGAGGCAAGTCCTGTCTAGCTCGAGCAAGAGTTGATACGGGTCTCACAAAGCTCCTTCTGGATCATGGCGCCATCGTCACATACCCTGCGCTCATCGCGGCCATTGATGACAGAGACGCCGATGGTCTTGAGCTTCTTCTGTCAATTGGCGCAGATGTTAACGAACGGGAAACCAAAGACCAAAGCAAGCCCAAGACAGAGCACGCTATGTGGATGCAATCAGTCTTCTCAACGCCCTCTTGGAAACCGGATCCATTTCAGGTTGGTCGCCGCACTCGCCGCCATGGACTTCCACCTTATGCTATGCACCTCTTGCATCATGCAGCATGGAACCGATGCAGTTCTAGTCTCGACGCTGAGGGTATCTCTGCGTATGACAGGATCGCTAGAATTCTAATCCATCATGGAGCAGACGTTTGCACACAATATGAAGGTACAACAGTTGCTCACGCCATTCTCAGCCTAGGGTGCTTCTCGTGGATCTCTCACGAACTTCCTCTCGAGCATGTGGATATACGCGACGACTCCGGAGAGACATTGCTTCTGTCAGCATGTCACTGGGATGACCCCATCACTGGTCAATTCAGCGACTACGTCACAGAGGACATAGCTGAACTTTCTCCTGTCCAACTCCTGGTCAGAAAAGGCGCCGATATCCGGGCTCGTGACAACAAAGGTTGCAATGTCCTTCACAAACTCCTCCCTGCCGAGGAAAAGACACTGGAGGCGGTGAGATATTTTGTGTCGCAGGCTCCAGAGCTTGTCAATCAAGTATCTGAAGAAGGCATCGCCCCTCTTCATCTGGCAACATCATTGAGCGAGGTCAAAGTGCTGCTTGATGCAGGTGCGGATCCATCTATCCGAGATGATCGTGGTCAAACTGCACTGTATCTTGCTGTATCGCGTCTCAAAGAGAATACAGATGTTACTGATGCGTTATTCGATGCCGGAAGCGATCCGCATTCTTCAGCAAAAGATGGGAACACGTCGTTCCATCTCCTTTTAGGCGGAGTCTTCGACGTCTCAGAAGATGGAGTGGTCATCGGCCCCAGACGTCAACTGTTGGACCGGCTTTTGGCCTTGGGCGTTGACATGAATCTTCCCAATAGTCTTGGGGAGACACCCGTGTTCTCCTTCTTCCGATCTGGTCACATAGATCGTTGCTCATCATGGGCCAAGACTCAAGAAGCCAAGACGAATGCCGGGAACCACCTGGTCTCTCAGACTGGGCCCTCCCTGTTCTCGCCCCAACCCGTACTGGAAAGCAAACCTGGCCTCTTTGGGAATCCAGTTGGGCGAAAAGAAAATTTCGAAGCACTCGAGAATCCTGTTTTTGATCTTTTGGAGAAGATGGGGGTGGATTTCGGCGTGGTGAATCATGCAAAGGAAACGCTGCTGCATATCGTGGCCGCTGAGAGAAACAAATCGCAGATCCAAGAAAGGAGATTTCAGTATCTCATGGGCAAGGGGTTGGATATTTCAGCAGAGGATAACCAACAGAGAACGCCATTAGACGTGGCGGCTGCTTTGGGCAACAGACATATCACGAACCTATTTGAGGCGAAGCATGTTGGGCTGCGTGATGACGGTGCTGAAGACTCGTCGTGTCCTCAGCCTTCACTAACCGGTCCATTTCAACTCTTCAGATAGTGGATAATTTGATTCAGTTTGGGTTCTAATCTTTCATCAGATATCGTAAGGTCTTGCCATCTTCAGTGCATGACGACGCCGAAGACCGTGAACAAACATAGAAAGAGGTTTGCTAGCCGTACAGTGCTGATTGGCTATCTGGGCAGTGCCCTCTATAAATTTAGTCGCAGTACGTATTTAACGATAGACGAAGACGATAGACGAAGACGATGGACGACGACGATAGACGACAATAATAGACGACAACGATAGTAACAATAATAGCGAAGACAATAGTAATAATAATAGTAATAATAATAGCAAGGATAATAAATTCAAATGCTTTAAAATAAGGGGTAATACACGTTGAACCCTGCCCGGATAGCCAACTGACACTGCCCGGTTAGCAACCTAAAGCTCCATAGGAATTGCCCTTTTCATCTTCTTATGAAAGTCATGTCTTGGTCTCAGATATTTGCTTCGCGAAACATAGTCACAAGAGTTACACAAGCAACGAGTTTCTGCATGCTAAACGGGCTTCAGAAGGGAACTGTGTCAACCGGCAAAACCAGGCCAATCAACCCAATGGCGGCAAAGCAAGCGCACGCAACCCATATTGGAGCCGAAGTAGTGACATCAGAGTATGTGGCAATGAAAGGAGCAGTGAGTGACGCAAAACGCCCAACGGCCATGAGCAATCCATTGCCCAGGCCACGGTTCTCTACGTTGAGAGCTTGCGGGGTGTACCTTAGGTATATAATTCAGCATGCCATGCTCCATACAGGAAAATTGAATACTTACGCGTAAATGATAGCGTACGTGGCATTCAGCCAGAAGTTTACCATGGAGGAGAACGCTAGGTTCTCAGCAGGGTTCTTGACCGAGGTAAAGGCACCTGCGAATGCAGCGCAGGCAGCACCGGTAAACACGAGCGATTTGCGACTTCGAAGCCACTTGTTTGATACCATCCAAGTGCTCAGAATAGGCCCGAATGTGCCAACGACTGACGAGATTGTCCAATCTCGGTATGTGGTGTAGGTACTTGAGTCGCCAAGGTCCGCGCCGTGTGCGCGCAGATAGTAGGGCAAGAAGATTGTAAAAAGAGGGTACCTGAAGTTGAGAAGTTAGTCATTCGACTTTCTCAACGCTGTATGAGATGATAGCGAAGACTTACGCAATACCAACCAACATCCACAGCATCGTCAGACAGATCATCAATCTGATTTGTGTCTTTCCCTTGAATAACCTGCTCGCTCGGTGAATGTTTTCGCCAAATGACATCGTCTTCACTTCTTCTGTGGACCCGATTCTGATGAACTGATCGGCAGAAATCGTATAGCTCGACCTGTTCATCGCGCTAATTCGGTTGATGACATCCACGCCCTCGTCGATGCGGCCGCGAGTCACTAGCCACCTTGGAGACTCGTGTGTCCGAAGTACTAGAGCCCGAATAATTGACATTACAAGGCATAACCCACCCAGGAGGATGTACAGATACCGCCAACCCATGTTTGCGGACTTGGGACAGGTCTCTGGTGTTGCATCCTGTGGGCAGCTGAAGGGGACAATAAGGGCCCATCCTAGACTAGGATTCAGCTTTTGTGCCAATTTGACCCTATGTAGGTAGGGATGATCAGCGAGTCTTACCGAAGATACCGGTGATAGTATTCCCTAGTCCCCAAACACACGCAAGTCCAGCAAGCATAAAAGACCATCGCTGAGGGATGTTCTCGGCAAGAATTGTGAGATCAATCGCGACTGTGGTGAGCAACAGTGTTGTCAGCATCAGTCATTTCCTAGTCCCCTGTAGAGAGACTTACGGTTTCCGCCTCCGAAGAAGCCACAAATAGCAACCCATACGTTAATAGCCGCCCAGTTAGGAGATGAAGCAGCAAGCATAGTAGCAATAGAGATACCGAATATCGACAGCTGCCACACCATCCTCCTCCCAATATTATCCGCAAGCAGGCCCATCAAAACCGCGCCGATGAGCAAGCCAGCGTAGTTGGACGCTGGGAGCAAAGTGGAGTGTTTTGGCGCGAACTCGGGAATGAGCTGGGGTCCGACGAGAGAGATGGACACGAGGAGCATCTGCATTTACGTCCGTGTTAGCGTCTGCATTTGACGAATGCCTGGGTACCGACCTGATCCGCGAGGAAGCCAAATCCACAGGAAAGGGCCAGCTGCCATTGGAACTTTCCGAATCCAATGGCCTCGACAGCTTCGTCAATCACCCTGAGGTTTATTTCCACTTCACTGAGTGCATGTGTATTGTCGGATGTGTATTCGACCGTTGTGCCACGGCCATGGCTCTGGGTGGGCGTAATCGGCTTTCCGAGATCATCCCCCTTTTCCACAGGGTCATCGTCAACGCTCCCACGCTGAGGGACAGTGTTCATGATGCTTTCTGAACTCTTGGTGGAGTATCGAGGGGCCAAACTTAACGGGTTGCCTTCACGGCGGGGTAGGCATTATCGACTCCATCCAACTATGCTAGTCGCCCGAGAGATGATATACTCATCCCCTGAAACTCATTCTAACCATTTGCGTTCATGTTCGTCCGGCCTTTCGGCGTCAAGGACCAATACCTCTTCTGCCTGTACCCCAGATATGCCAAGAACTACACGTCTTCTGGTGGAGGTAGTGCCCTTCTGCTGAGAGCGACCTCGCGCGGAGTAAAGTGGGGACGGCCAGGCCGGAGTTCACATCCTGCGGGGACGGTCCGGACTCCCCGCCTCACGGCATGCGTATCCCGCCTCTCATGATAGCGCCGATTGCCTAAAGCGGCAATTCTAGCCTGAACATCCCGGCCACACCACCTCTGAACTGATAAGAGGCAACCTTATCTTGTCCCCGCAGCAAGAGCTGTCTAGACAGCTTCCTCGGTTGACGATATCCAAAGGCAAGGACTTGCAGCCCACAAGTCCCTCGTTGCTGGCCTTATTGACACCGTCTGAAACAATGGCAGTTCAGTGCTACTTCCTAAGCCCCAACGAGGATGCTCCTAATAGCCGTCTTCCGGTGCTTCACTATCGCGATGTGCTCCCAGAACCCAGAGATGAGGCTTCAGTGACGGACTTTTTGACAAGGAACAGATGGGAGAAGAGGGTAAGAGAGCACCCTGATGGATAATTGTGTTCAACGTCTCACCAGCACAGGGCACATGGGGACACATTGGCATCCGCCATTTTCATCCGAATAGCCACGAATGCTATGGTTAGTGCGAGACTAACATGCGGTCCTTCAAGCTGCTCTGACCTCGCTGTGATATGTAGGAATATTCCAGGGACATTCTAAGATGCTCCTCGGGAAGATCTCCACCGGTCAGGGGATGGAAGTGGACGTGAAAACTGGCGACGTCATCATTCTTCCAGCCGGAACAGCGCATTCCTCGCTAGCGAGCTCCTCTGACTACCGATACATCGGCGTATATCCCCAGGTGAGCTCCTCTATTTTATATCTGTCACCCTCGTTTACTAGATCGTGTGCTAACCGACTGTCTGTAGGATTGCCCAAAGTGGCGAAACGAGATGGGGAAAAAGCCGGCAGGAGAGTTCAAAGCCGTCATCAAGAGTGTCGAGATGCCAGAAGAAGACCCAGTGTATGGAAGGAATGGTCCATTGAATCAACTTTGGAATAAGGACATACTTGCCAAGCTATGAATCAGACTCATATGAAGACTATGACCACCCCGCCATGATTGATACCGCAAGCCCATATTGATCTCCTCTCAATCTAGTATCGTTTTTTGGCCAGCTTCTATCACCATGACTTCCTTCTTAGATCTCATCTACTAAGTCAGTGTCAACACTTCCCATAGCCGCAGGCTTCCCGCGCCTGACCCTCAGCACAGCTCTCACATGCTCAATTCCCAACGGCGCTCCGTTGCGCACCGCGAGCAGTGACGCCGTCTTGACCACGTTCTTGATCTCGCGACCGTTCAGTTCAAGCTTTGCTAAAGCCTTGAAGTCTTCATCCTCGAGACGGGATTGGCGGGGTTCCAGCGCTCCAGACTCATCAACCTTGCGGCGGTTAATGAAGACCTTCCAGACGTGCAGCCGGGAGTCAAAGTCGAGCGCAGGATAGTTGATTGTCAGATGTATGCGGGACTCGAAGGCCGGGTCGAAAGCTTCCACGCGGTTGGTGGTGAGGAGCATGACGCCTTTGTAGTACTCCAACAGTCTCAGGAAAACTAGTCACAGGGGTTAGACAAACGGGACTACCGGTGATCGTACAGAATTCAGGCCAGATGCTCACCTGAGACAATCTGATTGCGCTGGAGGTCAGAAGCTCGTCTTTTCTCGAGGAAGATGTCGCATTCGTCGAGGAGCAGCACAGCTTGCCATTTGGTGCACATCTCAAGGACGCGACGGAGGGAATCTTCCACGTCGTCGGCGGTGATTCCTAGTTCGCCAGCGCTCATGGCGTAGAGAGGCTTCTTCATCGCTTCGGCCACTACGCGATGTGTTAGACCTGTCTTGTGAAGTGGGAAAATAGTTGCACATACTCGACTCTGCCGTGAGCGTCTTTCCTACTCCCGGCTCTCCGCTAAGAAGCATGATGATTCCCTGGCCTGATCCAGTTAGCTACACGGAAACTACATAAAAGCTTCTCTTAAAGCACGGGCGCTCACCTTTGCCACGAATTATATCGTCAAAGCCACTGGCTGAAGACATTTGTGCCTCGACGAAAGCACGCACGATGGTCTTGTAGTCGTGCGGCAAGACGAGCTGGTCAAAAGCCCCCTCGTTCCACTCGACCTCTGTCACCGAGTCGATGAAAAATAGCCCTATGCTAGTATTAGCCATGATCTCTTATACCGAGGGTGACAAATACCCCATTTCTTCGACGTCAAGTCGAAACCCCGCACCATTGGCGAAGCAAGTTCTCGCTGGTTAGCAGTCAACTCCTTGTCTGCCTCATTCGCCAGGCCTGCTGTTGCGGATTCGACATATCGCATTCTGCCACGACGCGGCGGGCTATACGGCAAGCCGTAACTCCCCCGGCGGCCTTTCATCCGTCCTTTGAGAGCACCCAACTTCTCCTTCTCAGCCGTGGGGTCCCTCAGTTTCTTCAGGCGAGGAGCGGCCTGGTATTCGTACCGGCAGTACGACTCGCCGTCGATGATGATGCGGCCATGCTCAATCTTGGCTCTGGTCAGACAGTGGCCATCGTCAGAGGCGCTTGGGCCGGGGACTACTCACCTGTCGTCTCTCGACACCTTTGAAATCTCCGTGCCCAAATTCAAACATTCCTGAATAGCCCTTGTAATGGAACCCCTTGTAGCTCTCGAACAACTTCCCTCTAGCTTCAAGCTTTTCCCGGATCTTCATCATCCCCGGGTGCAGATTACTGGGATAGATCGCCAGCTCCCGGATCGGCAACAAGTCATCAAACATGTGAACCTCAAACACCTTTGAAGCAAGCCCGAATCTAATGCCATCCGTATCCACGAACTGACACTTCAGTGTGAACACAACGCTCCCATCAGACCGCGGCTCGTATCGCGCATTTTTGACGAGAAACAACCGATCCTGGTCGTCAACCCGCGCATACGCCTCCGTATCAGGCTCGAAAAGCGTCCAGAGGTAATCAAACGACACAACCTCATTCTTCCGCAGGTCCCGCGCGCGCTCAATCTGCGGCTTGATCTCCGGCGCCAGCACATCATACAGCAGCTTCACATGCTGCCTCGCCAGCTCGTCCGCCCCATCCTCCACGCACTTCTGCAGCGCCCGCCAGCGGTGGAAGAACGGCTGGAACGGCGCCTTGAACTCGACCTTCTTCAACGTCGTGCTGACGCCAGGGTAGCCGCTAAACACGTCGCCTAGCGCGCGCTTGATGTGCGGGCTGTTGACGATGACGGAGTGCAGCGCGAGGACGTTGCCGTCGGTCGCCTCGACGTTGACCTCGCGGCGCGCGATGAGGGCGAACTTGGCCGAGGCGGCAGCGGAGCCCGCGAGGCCGACGTACTCGGGGGCCCAGTCCTCCCAGAGGTCGCGCCGGCTCTTGCGGTAGAACTCCTTGACCTCGGGGGTCTGGCCGATGTCGGTGAGTTTGGTCTTTTCCTCGTCGTCGGAGGAGCGAGAGCGCCGGCGGGGAGGGCGTTGCGGGCGGCTGTCGTCGGAGGAGTAGGCGGCGCTGGAGTAGGAGTCTGGGGTGTCCATTGTGAAGGTATGCCTCGTGTTGGTCAGGAAGATGTCAGGTTGTGCAAGAAGGATGTGATTGATGAGCTGAACAAGAAGGGCTCTTCAGCTTATTAGATCCCTCAGTGCGGCTGAGAGCTACTGTCATCCTGGTCATAAGGCAGACCGTGGAAGCCCATGATGACTGCATCCGCTAGCGCAGTCGTCTGAGGCCAATCCGTCATCTTGCCAATGCAATTGGACCACGTTACGTACGACGAGAGTCTGGAACAAGGACACAACAGTTGATGTCAATACCACATCACTGAGCTTAGTTGCACCGGATAATATTTCCTGTGGTTGCACAGAGTATCTCGACGTTCTCGAGTAAGCACTATATTGTACCTTGTCGATTGTAGCGACTTACTTATCCAGGGTAAACTCATGTCCATGAAGTTGACATATGAATGGTCATCCTGTGACAACAGAGTCGTTGGAGAATGAGTGCGCATGCATGCCGATCCAGTCGCAGGCCCCAGTTCGTGGTGTTCTCTCATACTTTTCATACATTGACAGGGGTGTGAGTGAGGCCTTTATGACTTCTCGGACTTGATGGAAATCTTCGGCGCACAGCATTATTGGTCCGCGACAATCCCCAATAGGCGTATGCACGTCAGATAGGGCGGCAAATAAGAAAACAGCGCTCCATCGCCAGGCAGCAACAATTGAGCGAATGATATATCTGACGTTACGCAGACAACAATTCCCATTTCTTGGCATCACTAAGGTAGACCAGGAACCCAATCATGGAGGACGACATCCGCAACTCCACAAGCACCCCCAACCTCAAATTCTCCTCCCAAATCGATGGAATCTTAAAACACGCCAGCCCGCGCGACAACGCCAAGCGCTGGGCGCGCAACCTCCGCTTTCTCACTTTCGACACCGGCACCGACCACCCCGATGCCGCAACCTCGACTCCGACCCGGGGCCAATGCCGGCGGTGCGCCGAACGGGTCCCGGCGCCGGCGGGCCACATGTGCGCCGCGCACGCCAACATCCGGCCCACCCCGGAGTCGCTGGCGGCGTGGGAGCAGAAGTTGGCAGAGTTCCCAGACCCGTGCGTGCATGTGGAGGATTTGACATGCGACGGGTGCCGGCATGTTCCTCTCTTCCCGAACACGGGGACGGTCTCGACGTTCCGGATTAGGAGGGCCGTCGTGACGGAGGAGGATGCTTTGTTTTCGGAGTGTCGCCATTTTGTGGCTGTGTCGTACTGTTGGGAGAGTCAGCCGTCGGATGAGGACGGCGAAGCTTCGTCTCTCCCGCCGTATACTGTCATCGAAGAGGATGGCACCGAACGCGCGATGAGGGCTCCCCGCGCCACGATTGACCGCGTGGTGAGATTTGTGAGGGAGAATGGGTTTCGTATGATATGGATCGACCAAGTACCGCCCCCTCTCAGCATCCCACCCGTTGTTCGACTAACACCATCCAGGAGTGCATCGACCAAACCAACCCCTCCGAAAAGGAACTCGGCATCCAGTCAATGGACCTCGTCTACCAGCGCGCGCACACCTGCATCGGCCTCATGTCCACCCTCTGGTCGCAGCGGCACCTCGAAGCCCTCCTCCTCCAAGCCGAGCTCCGCCACCCCGACTCCGGCGCCGGCTCCCCCCACCGCCGCGGCGCCGCCCCCGTCCGCAAACCGCGCCCGGAGATGCAGCACTTCGCCAACGACCTCATCGCCGCCGTCTTCGCGCTCGTCTCCGACCGCTGGACCACGCGCGCCTGGGTCCTGCAAGAATCCTTCGTCTCCGCCGACCGCATGCTCCTCCTCTTCCCCCGGCCCCCGGAAACAGACGTGACGGGCTGGTGGCTGATCTGCCACGAAAAGTCCCTCTCCGAGATTGCAGTCAGCATCCTGATGCTCCAGGACGCGCTCGAGAACCACGTGCTGCCGTACCTCACCCCGCTGCTCTCCTCCCCTCCCCCGCCTTCGTCAAACGCGGCGGCGTCCCCGATGGGCATGGCCGTCGCGCTGTTCGAGAGGGTGCGCTTCTTCTACCCGCGCGCCATCGACAACGACTCCCGCATCGGTCTGGGCGCCGACTTCTGGGACCGCAAGCGCTGCGACGCCGCCACCGCGCTGGCCTTCCTCAACCAGCGCGACTTGTTCCGCGTCGCGGACCGGGTGGCCATCCTCGCGAACCTGTGCGGGTACGAGCAGCGGCTCGATACCGTCGAACTCGAAAAGGGCGGGTATGGGCTGTCGCATTGTCTGCTCGCGCTCGCACTCCTCAACGGGGACTTGTCGTTGCTGGTCCCGGAGATGTATAAGACGCCGGAGGGGTGTTCGCTGTGTAAGTCAACCCATCACCAACTCACCCATCACCACAAACTCACAAGCCTAGCATTCCCATCCGGCCCAGACGCAGACTTCACCTTCCTCCACTCCCTTACTCATAACCTCCGCCTCGCCGACGCAGCAACCCTCACACCATCCTCTAACACCGCCGTCCCCGATGACCCGCGCCTCTACACACTCTCCTCAAAGGGGCTCTCCCTCGCCGGCACGCTGTGGAAAGTAACCTCCTTCGTCCCCCTCGAGCCCATCAAGCTCAAATACGCCTCCGCCTGGCACCGCGCCAAACTCCCCGGCGTTTCCCCCTCCACCCGCCGTCAAGCCCTCACGCACATCCTTCACGAGACCCTCTCCCTCCTCAAAGCGCGCAACATGCTCCAGCTCGCCGACGCAATCTTCAACTCCACCTCAGACGCAAAATACCGGGCCCAAACCCCCGACACCCCCCTCGAGTCCGTCCTGCAGATCCCAGAGGACACAAACATCGCAAACCGGGATGGCATGTTCTGGTTCAGCTGGGCGATGGCCGAGCAGCTCCCGCACCAGGCCTGGATCGTCGACCGGATCATGGAGCTCGGCGGGTTATGGGTCGCGGAACCCGTGGAGGAGGGATACCTCCCCTTCAACCCTCACCCACCCTCCCCATCCTCTGAGTCCGAGCCCGCCGCAGTGCCGATGGCAGAGCAATGGCCCTCTCTCCTCTCCAACCTCGACCCCTCCGCCATGATCTCCTTCTTCCGCTCCACCTCCGCCCACCTATCCAGCCAAACCCATGCAGAACGCCTCCTGCAGATATCCCTCCTCACCAAATTCCTCGACCTCATGAACGACCGCTTCCTAACCTCCTCACCAGAGTCTAAATCAGCCAGTCTACTGCGCAACATGGTTCCCCTCCAGATGTACTCAGGCCTCCTGGCCGGTCAAGTCTCCGCGTCAGAGTTCACCGACCGGCGGGCCGTCTTCGACCTCGGCGGGGAGGATGCGCTGGGCACGCTGGTGCTGACGCCCTTCCAAGCGCAGCTGGAGTCGATCCCGCGGCCGAAAACGAGGGGGCTCAGCGTGTCGTGGGTGGTGGAGGAGGTCGAGGGGAGCGAGGACAGCGGGGTTGGCGGGGGTGAAGAGATGAAGTTCCGGGTGAGGGGGATGGTGAAGGGGATGTGGCGGTTTGGGTTGCTGCATTCTGGGCGGTATACCCTGGTATAATGCCTCAACATACCGATGCATGGTTAGTATGAAGCTGTCCCAAGTCAGCGCACAAAACAGAACTTTCAAGCTCCACTAAGGACACATGGTGACGGTGCATGATGCCATTGGTATAAAATGCTACCTTCTAACCCTCTCATCTATCTTTACACTTCTCTTTCGTACATGTACACAGGACCGTCTCGGGCACGTCCTAGCGCGTAAGCATACTTACACAAACCATGCTCTCCGAGCTCACGACGCAAAAAACGCAACCTAAAAATACATAAGAGTAGGGGGTGTGTGGTGGTGGGCGGATGTCGTTTCTCGCAGCGTTTACATAATCAGTCTCATCAACATCACAAGCTTCACTTCAGGCACGAAAACCAAAGCAAGCGTTACTCGTGAGATGTGTGTGCGTGTGTGGTACTGCGTGATGGGCAGAGAGACGCGAAACGAGAAACAAAAAAAGAAACAGGACGATGAAAAGACATTAAGGAAATATTTCTCGCGGAGGTCGCCCTCCATAAATGCATGTTGATGCATGCTCCCAATGCAGTGCAGAGTGTTCGTCATCGTTGCCCAAGACGTGTAAGAAATAATGAAATCCATGCCCAATGTTTTGTACGCCTTCGCAATCCCGTTTCTGTGTTTCCACCCTGATGCTGCTAACCCACTATGGTATCATTTGCCCGGTGTTAAGGCCGGGTCGAGAACAATCAAATCTGCTGTGCGCCTGGAACGGCGAGTGAAGATGCGGAACAGCGCCGCCGAATGCATTCGTGAATGCGTGGCCTCTAGAGCGAGGCAAGTTTCTGGAGGGCGAGGAGGACGCCTGCGACGTTGTTAGCAACCGCGATAGGTTCGAGATGTCGAGCCAACTTACCACTCACACCCTGAGTCAGGGTCGCGCCGGCCTCGGTGTTGCGGCTGTGCAAGCTGACAGTCACAACATCGTTGACCACCTTGTCGTCACCGAGGGCGTTGGCCCATCGGAACACCTTCTCATCTTCACGGCCATCACCAACAACCATGAGGAAGTCGACGGGGCTCTTGTGCTCGGCGTCGGGAGCCATGTGGATGCGCAGGTCGTCGAAGATCTTCTCAGCGGCGGTGCTCTTGGTCCAGTCGATAGGCTCAACCACGATGGAACCGTCAAGAGCGATGGCGTGCACGCGCTGCTCCTCGCAGGCATCGTTGACGTGGCTGGCGCAGTCTGAGGCCTGGCGGGCGGCCGATTCGTAGTCTTCGGCGCTCTTGTAGTGGAAGATAAGACTGCAGCGGCGCTCCTCGATTTCGGCACCGGGTGTACGCTCGAGGTAGTACGTCATGATTGACTTGACCGACTCCTTCCAGCTGTTAATCTGCTCTCTATCGGCCATCTCGGTCCAGTTGCTGCGGCCACAGTCCTTGAGGAAGCAGCCGTTCTCGGCGATCAGGCCCAGATTGGGCACGCGACGGAACAAGCGGTCGAGCTCCTCGGGACGACGACCGG